TACTAGAATATCTTAAATATCTTAAGATACTAGGGTCTTTTACTTTATAAGATAGTTATATATTAGTCTATTAAATAGATTAGTATTGTTAAACTCTTAGTTATATCTATAACTCTTTTCTATAAGAATCGCTAGGCAACCCTTACAGCGCTAACTCTAATCCTACTCGCCCTAACCTGGATCGAGCTAGAGAAGTATTAGCACTCCAGACCCTGTGTAACAATTACTACCTGTTAGATAACTAGGCTAGTAATACTAGCCTTCTAGAAGGCTTAGTTAATCTTATTTCTTACTAGTAGAGAGCTAGTTATTTAGCCCTCTTCTAGTATAACTAGCGTCTAGTAGTAAGATACTAGTTTTTTAGCTTATTATACTAGCTTCTTCCTTAGCTATACTATTATCTAGGCTTAGTTTATATTATTTACTATAATTATAGCGTAGGAGATTTAAGCTAGTTTTTATACTTATTATATAGCTATTAACTATACCTTATTTAAAGCTATAATTATAGCTTATTTAAGTATCTTTATTACTTATTAAGAGGTGTTTATAAGCGTAGCTAAGTAGTAAGCTAGCTTAGTAGATAGCTTTTTTATAATTTAGTTAGCTACTCTACTTATTTTAGTATAGTCTCTAAAGATATCTAGTAGCTCTAGTAGCTTATTTTAAGCTATATAGGACTCTTCTATTATTAAGGCTTAAAGAATAAGGTCTCTAGCCTAGTAGATTACCTTATTAGAGGTCTTAGTAATTAGTTTTAGACTAGAGGTATTTTAGTATAGATTTCTACCTCTATAGGTAGTCTCTAGTAAGAAGTTAATATATTATTTATTTAGTAGTAGTATTAGTATTTTAAATACGCTTAGTATTAGTTAGTTTTAGGTAGGGGTAGCTAGAGTAGACTCTATCTCTATTTCTCTATTAATTTAAGCCTCTAGCTCTAAGCTCTTCTACCTATTTTCTTAGGTATTTACTATAATAGTATTACTATCTAGTAGTATTTTATTACTAAGCTATTCTCTTAGTAAGTAGCTAGGTAGTCTATATATTTTTGTTTTCATGAGTAAGACGTGTTCAAATTAGCTACTTTACTAGCTTCTAGCTCTATAGCGCGTGGGCTGCACGGCTTAGCACTAGTTACACTTGATTTCTTAGGAAGGATTTGTATATATTTAGCTAAAATTACACCTATTCTAGAAAACTCGAAGTTGGTGTAATAGACTAGGGAAGACTTATGAACTCTGTAAAAGCATCGGATTGAGCTGAATGGAACTGCATTACATCGCATCCTAATCTAATAATATCATTAGTTTTATAAAGCTAAATTGCCAATGTTCTCCAGATGGTATCACTTTGTTTACACTCCTTAGTCTGCACTCCAACTATAATCATGACTATCGTTCAAGACAGGTCGACGACACTTCATGCGACAGCTAAGAACCTGGTCCAAAATGTTCTAGCACGGTTCAATGGAACCCATGATTCGAGTCTCATGAGCTGTGCTGTTTATGACACAGCATGGCTGGCCATGATTCGAAAACCGGACGCCAATAACACACAATCGACTTGGCTTTTCCCGGAGTCTTTCACTTACATATTGGACACCCAACTTCCAGATGGCGGGTGGGAGTCTTATGGGAGCCATAGCGATGGGATCTTGAACACAGCAGCCTCAATACTCGCCATACAACTCCATCATGACGAACCAGCTCAACTACGCGACGTTACCGCCCTAGAGTTGTCAGAACGCCTTGATCGCGGGTGTGAAGCGCTACAGCGTCTCCTCAGCTCCTGGGATGTACAATCGTGTGTTCATGTTGGATTCGAGATTTTGGTTCCAAAGCTACTGAGACTGTTAGAGGAGAAGGGCCGAAAGTTCGAATTCGACGGCCATAGCAGCCTAATGGCTCTCAACAAGGCAAAGCTTGCACGCTTCCGACCGGAGATGGTTTATGGGGAGCTACTTACAACGCCCTTATATTCCTTGGAGGCATTTGATGGAATCAAATCCGAAAAGGTGAAGCATCACAAGTCTCTTGGGGCACTTATGGCATCGACTTCGTCCACGGCTTCATACTTGATGGGCCTAAATACCTGGGATGATGAAACAGAAGCCTACTTAAGACGTGTAGTGTCTATTGGGCCAGGCAGAGGAAGCGGCGGGGTGCCGGGAGCGTTTCCAACAACCTATTTTGAAATGACCTGGGTAAGATCTCCTGTGTTTTATCGGAACATAAACCTTCTTGGCTAACATATAATCTCACTGAGTCTAGGTTGTGACAACTCTACTAGAAGCTTCATTTACACCAGAACAACTGGGCAGGGAAAATTTAGAACAGATCGCGCAAGTATTGTCCAAGGCCCTTGAAGAAGAGGGAGGAATCTTGGGGTTCTGTAAGCTTTCATTAGAGACTTTGTAATACGTTTTACTAGAGACGCTGACACTGTAGGGATAGCGCCAAGAGTTGGGGCCGATGCCGATGACACGGCCAAAACTATGTTGACCTTACGCATGCTTGGTCATCCTGTGGATCCTTCTGCCCTGCTACAACGTTTTGAGACAGAGGATCGCTTCCTAACTTATCAATTCGAGCGGACGCCAAGTTTCAGTGCTAACTGCAATGTTTTGAGCACTTTGCTTCATATGCAATCCCTTGATCAGTATGCTACTTCTATTGGAAAAGCTGCAAGGTTCATATGTAATTGGTGGCACGACTCGGATGAACAGATTCCAGATAAATGGGTATGCAAATATGATTTATTATCGCATTGGAGGCTGAATTGACTGGAAACAGAACACAACTTTCGGTTACAATGCAATGCTGATGGTACAATCTTTGGTTCGATTGCTGGACCAGTGGAATGAGGGTAAACTTCAACTGCTTGATGACGAACTTATTTTTGAGCTTATCCCACTTGCAATATTCCAAGCATTGCTACGCTGTTTGGCGAAACAAAAGCCAGATGGAATGTGGGGGGACTCTGCAGAGGAGACAGCCTATTCCGTAATCATCCTCGCAACCGCAGCTAAACTTCCATCTGTAGAGCCACTGCTTACAAGAATTAACGAAAGCATCGAAAAGGCTCACAAAGCTCTCCTTCGTTCAGGCATAGACAGCCAAGCGAGCTACATTTGGGTAGGAAAGACCTCGTACAAATCTGAGATTCTTTCAGAAACCTACATTCTGGCGGCGCTGAACTCAAGCGCTACCGCGCCAATGACTGGAGATAGGATTGCATCATTATCCACTATCTCGGCGAGTAAGATTGTCTCATGGGTGAAATTTTACTCAGGCCTTCCAGGAATTGCCCAAACACCAAATTGGATGCTAGTTGCGTCTATCATCGAAGGGTCACTCCAGTCTCGTCGCTTGCTCCGTAAGTGTAAAGAAGCATTCCCAGAATACAGCACAGACGTCCCAGAGAGAACTCAGCAGTACTTGGAGTACATCCCGGCAGTATGGATAATCTGCAGTAACAAGGACAGTATATTTTGCTCCTCAAAAATATTGTAGGTTATCACTTTTTTTCCCCTACCTCTCTCGTGCTGTGGACTCAAATCACTCAAAAGTCATGCTTTGATTTCAACGCCCGCGTCCTCATAATATAAAGAAATATTTACTAACGCTAAGGTATTAGGTTTGACATGATGATCCTGTCCTTTCTCACCTACAAAATCGATGAGTACATGGAAACTATTGCCACTGTAGGACCCGGCGGACTAGACAACTTGAAGCAAACCATCTCCAAGGCGTTTAGTTGCATACAAATACCTGAATCTACATCAACAAATTCTTCATCGCCAACTGACAGCGTTGACAACACCTTGGCCCATTTCGTCAGCTATGTCATGCGGCTTCCTACAGTTATTAACGCAGCCAAGTATGACAAGAATCGGCTCCAAACGAAACTTCACACCTACCTAGACTCTCACGTAGATCAGCTTATACAAGATCAATTTTTCTCCAGCGAAAACAGCGCAGATACAACTCGAACGCATAAATCCATGGCCAATCTACACGAATGGGTCCATGGCGCTGCTTCTTCATCGACTTCTTGTCAACACGCCTTCAATCTTCTTCTCTGCAGCCACAGTGGTGATAGCGATGTCTTCGACACTGCAGAGCAAGAGTATCTCGCTGAGAATCTCAGCAATCATTTGGGGGCAATGTGTCGGATTGACAACGATGTTGGATCCATGGCGCGCGACAAAGCGGATGGAACACTTAATGCTGCAGACTTTCCTAAGATGAATGTTAGATTAGGTGCCAAGGCTCAACTACTGAATTTGGCTCGTTGGGAACGGAAACAAGTCTCAGCTGCGCTGGAGGCTTTATCAGAGGTGCTGGTCTCGGGTCAGCAACAAAGAGTTGAGCAGCTACTACGGATGTTCACAGACGTCTGCGATGTTTATGGGCAGATTTACCATCGCCGAGATCTGTCAGTTGTCAATGCACCTTGATTTACTTATAGTGCAGAGGACGTGAAAGGTATACCTACCGAGCTTTTAGGTAGACTAAACAAAAAATGGCTGTGAAAATTATCTACCTAGAATATCCTACGACTCAGCTGAGAAAAGAGAGTAGGTTGATATATGTGTTTCGATCGTACTTCTCTAGCCCTATTCAAAGTAAAAGCACCTGTAATGATAAACTATTTGCCAGCTTTCACACATTTTTGCATTACCGCTTCACGACAAGAGGAAGGCCAATGGGGGTTTGATAGAGTGGCCAACTCAACTATGAGGTACGTCATGCTCGGTTGACGTAAAACTGTCCCAGAAGTTCTCTCTATAGTTATCATTTCTACGAGTAGTGACACTGATATGTAAGTTTGATTGTAAATCAAGAATCTCTGGAAATTGGAATCAATAGGGACGCACATAATCAAGCATGTTTGTTAATAGTGCCCGAGAATTATTCATCCAGGAATCGTCCTTGTGCAGTAATCGCCCATACAAACTTAAGGCGTGTAAGTCAATAATACGTGGGTAATCACCCCAGATAGGCAACCGAGGCAAGCAACCCTGACTCGGCCTCTCTACTTTTGGTGATGTCAAATGATCGAAAACGGACTTCGCCTCACCCTTCTGCGGTATTGCGGCATAGCTTAACTATAACCAAAATACGTACAAAGTAAGTTTGCAGGCTGAAACAAAAGATCCTTCGTACTAAGATTCTCTGCTATTAGAGATGGCCCGACCGTCCAGCTCTCTTAAATAGTACTGATTTGCAGGAAGTTCCTGAGGTACTGCTCAAACGACAACAAGTGTAGACGACTTTACATCTGTTATCATCTGCGACTCTGGTTTCTGTGCTGCTTTTGTTGCCGCGTTACCTAGCCTTCGTCTCCGATACAGAATGAAGCCAATGGCACCAAGTAGGACCAGACCTCCCAATACACCAACGATTATCCCACCAATTAAGCCACCCGACAGCTTTGACGCTTCATTTGTTGGCACTAGGATATTGAGGGAAGAAGTTGGCGAAGGTGCAGCATCGATTGATCTACCCGTCGAGTTCGTGCAAAACTCGCTAATCATGTTATTCTGTTTGTCAACTGCGACTACATCAAGGGTTCTTGACCCTGTGTTCGCTTGCCAGACGGAAAATCGCCCGGCTTCTTGATTGACCATTGTGTATGCCGAGCTCATGAACAGCCGGCCAAGAACTGGTAGATCGTTACCATTATAGGACTGAAGTGAGTTGATGACGACGTTTCGCACCGATGTATTTGTCTGTACTGCGCTGTTGGAGGCAATATATGTGTCGGGAACAACGAGTTCGGTATTAGGAATCTTCAATGAGATGCTGTTCGGAAGCTGGATCGTCAGGCCTCCGTAATAACTAACTCATGATCATTAGGTTATGTAACTTATGGACAGGGGGATAGTTATGTCACTTACACGTTACTCGGCTCAAAGAGCATTGTGAAGTAGTTGATATCGAGGCTTCTTGCCTCGGTCCTGTTATCTGGAGGCGTTCCACCCGTGATCAATTTGAAGTTGTCGTAATAGCTTAGTGGAAGCGTCATTAGTCCCGCGGATCTGGGACTTATGCATGCTTGTATCGCCGCTGATTATGATCCCATGAAGACACTCATGTCAGTGCCGTTTGGCCTGTTCAGAAGGATATCGCTGACGGTTACTACCATACCTGTCCCACAACGGCCGCCTCGGAACCGTGATGCTGTGAAGTTGTCATTTGGATTTGAAATTAACGATCTGTCCACACCGCCGAGAACCAATGACCCTCGACTTTGCTTTTCGGCGGGACCACCGACGAGTTCCCAGAATATGGAGTATACTTTCGTACCTATGTTGCCTGCGGAAACGAGCGCTTGTAAAAATGATGAGTTCTTGCCCAAGCTGAGCTGCGATTGACTGGTGAAGGCCTGACTGAGGTGTTGTTTCGGAATGCCGAATCCAAACGAAGAAATCGATGTGTTAATGCCGAAGCTGAGAGTGTCTTCGATTCAGTCCGCTTTGAAGCCATCACTATCCTTTCGACTGCTGACCGACTTGTCTGTAGACGATTTCCATGCATCGTATGCTCCGCCACGAAATGTTACACATGCTCCCGATGAGTAGGAATCTGCACAGAATCCATCCGTTCCGTAAATATACGTCTCATTGTAATCTCTATAAGCCGTATTGGTTAGCTATGCAGGATATTCGATACTCCTCAGGACGTGGATTGTAAGACTTACCCGCTGGCGAAAAAAGATATGTTCTGATTATTGGAACCGACGGTCATGGAGATTCCCCTCGCATAGGCTCCATTCGGTAAAGATACATTCTGAATAGGTGCAACAATGGGCTGTAGCTGGCACTGGCTATTAACAAAGGTAACGAAATGCAAAACTTCCAGAGTGAGTAGGAAAATGCCCATTGCAATAGTGATGTTGAAGTTGACGACGCAGAGAATTCTGAAGGACCAGTGACTGGTGGTATAGAGAAATATCAAAACGGCAAGGCACTTCTAGCCGATAGCGCTTAGCTAAGTAACAGAGCATGTTCATTCGAATTCGGTGTGGTGTTGCAGTCAGGTTATACCAGTCCACCAACCAGCGAACATTGTTAAGCGCTGCTCAACGCCGCTTACTAGCGCCGACCCTGAGTCAATGTCGATTAGCCCCTGTGCGAATCTAGATATTAGCTGAGCTGTGCCGCAATGCCATATCACGATATTGCAGACTACAACAAAAGCTCTCCTTTGTTTGTCACTAGAGGTGCCTTCCATATCTTCATGGGAAATGCCCTAGGCCGTGCGATCGTTGTTCTTCGTCCTCTTGTAACCATCATCTCCTTTTCCTCTGTATACATCACCTACGCAAGTGCGTGTGAACCAAATACCGAGCTTCTACGATATTTTCCTAACATATTTCAGAAGCAAGCTATCACATGACCACTTGAGTTACTTCTGGAGCACTCCAGATCACTAGTCATCACAAAATGATGCATTCGCGCAGGAGAATCGAATTTGTGGTGGTAGCAGTGTTCATGATCTACATATGATTCCTCGTCGACGCGCACTTTGATGATGTTCAAGAAAAAGCTGTCGAGGCCAGCGCTGCTGAGAAGCCATGGCGATATGAGGCAAAAGAAGAAGAAGAAGAAGAAGAAGAGTATAAGATATTTGATCACGAAATTTCCCACGGTGCCACAAAAGAAACGCCCACTCATTATTTAAGCACCCCGACGCAAAGTCATACGGTCGCGACAACTATCCCATCTCTACCCGATCGCGTCGTAGTAATGGCAAAGCTTCCCACAGACGACACACGCTGGGTACATACAGACCTTCCAGACTGGCAATCGGCCATCTACGACATCGACACGGAGACTCCGCACAAGATATCGAATCTGGACCCGCTCACAAACAGTACTCTACGTGCGCTTCGCAACAAAGGTATGGAAGCGAATGCTTACCTCGCATACATTGTGCAGAATTACGATAAGCTCCCTTGAACCATCGCCTTCATTCATCCGCACAAAGATGGCTACCCAGTCACCTGGCATACCGATAACAGCGAACCCTCGAATGTAGTCTCTCTACAAACCCTTAATATAAACTTCATCCAAGGTAATGGCTACGCGAATTTGCGTTGCATTCCTGATCCAGGATGCCCCCACGAGGTGATGCCGTTTCGAGATCGGCCGGAGGAACACCGAACAATCGAAGCAGCAATGCCAGATGCGTGGCGAGACTTGTTCAACAATACAGATGTACCGCACATACTGGCCACTCCTTGCTGCGCACAGTTTGCCGTGTCGAGCAAGCAAGTGCGGAAGCGGCCGTTGGATGAATACAAAAAGTATTATACGTGGCTGATGGAAACACCGCTAAAGGGTGAGACCAGTGGGTGGGTTTTCGAGTATCTCTGGCATATTTTGTTTGGCCAAGAGCCGGTTTAGTAAGTACTCGATGATCAGTATTGCGATGCGCAGATGCTGATTTTAATTAAGTTGTCCCGCATACGAAAAATGTTATTGTGATGTGTATAACAAATGTTGAAGTACCCTTGTTCAGTCTAAGATCTGCGCAACCTGGGTATATGTCGGTGATATGTTCGATCTTACTGAAAGATCGAAGCCGGTGTGCACATGCGCTCAAGATCCTAGCACGAAAAGCAACGCGCCGTCACCATTCTCAACAAAGCATGGCATGCGGAAACGCTATCCATACTAGATGGAAGCCATGGCTTATAAACCGAAAGTCTTTTTTTTTGGTTTTATGTGGACCGGATGGTTGTATGTCGGGTAAGACTTGCCTAGCGCAGTAGATTGGGCATCGGGTCGACGATTTGGATCAACACGAGCGGCAAGAGACTCGGCAGACGCAGAAAGTAGCAGCCCGAGGGCTCTACTGGTACTAGGCTTGTGTTGATGGAGTTAGTGAGCTGCTAATTTGTGCCGAGGTAGAAGCGTATGCAGGGCCTGGCTATGTTTGGTAGGTATCACGCATCTGTGGATTATGTGTTGCCGTAATTAGAGGCCAAACACGTCTAACAATTTGGGTTAGAGCATGCACAGTACTCTGTACACACACATGTACTGCGGTGTCGCCGAGGGAAACTTTCCGACAAGGTTAGTGGGTGAACGAATGCCAGGCTGATTACTACCAGTCCACAAGGTCGTGTGTTTGCGCAGTGCATTCAGAATGCGTGAGACGAAGTGTTTGATGGGTCCACGGGTGGAGCAGAATTGCAGAGTTTCTGGGGCAGCAAGTCGAGTGCACAGAAGCCATTGGTGACGTGACACAGGGAAAGTGATGGTGATTAGCGGCGGGAGGCAAAGAGGGGCGGGACCACAAGTGGAGAGTTGCAACCTTTCTCTCGCTTGCACTTCCTCGACCCTCGCTCCCAGCCCGCGCGATGATGAGTAGCCAGCCATGAGCGTCATACACTCTCGTATTCTTCTCTGATACGATTGATTCCCCACATTCGCCGTCGCAAGACCAGCAGCCGTTGCTCTCATGGCCATGCCCTCGCTGGTTGCTAGGGCAAAAGAGGTCCGCGGAGTCTAGGGCGACATGACAATCAATTGGGTGCAACAAGCATAGGTCATTATATAAAGAGTCGGATAACTGCATGGGGCTTTGCACAACGTGTGCCGTTCGCAGCGGGATATTGCCAAAGCCTGTTTCTTGGTCCAAGCCACACAGTTTGCTTAACCGCAACTGTCTCGAAGATCGCTCGTGTTGCGGCGTGGCAGTCCATGGCAGACGACATTGAGGTTACATGGACGTGGCTGATCCTCCGGGCGCAATGAAAGACCGGCACATTAGTTTCGAGAAACGAGAATGCCGTCAAGCACAGAAGATCAACAGCTTGCTACGCCCCAGGTTGGGGCATCCTTGGGAGCGAAAGCGAATGTGGACCTGACTTAGAATAGTGCCTGTGCAAGGAACGTGAACGGGTATACTCCGATGACCTCACCGTGACCGTCAGTCTTCCGGCAACTAACCAACCGACTACACGGCCATGGGATGGATGCGCAGTCGATTGGCTCAATGGGCAAAAATAGCTCGGTTAGGGCCTCACGCGTTGTATCAGCCTGCCCTGCAAACAGCGCGGGGGGTGCGCCATGGTTGTGCAGTTGTGCTCAGCCATGTCTCTCTTCCTCTAACACGCTGTACCTCTGCGCCATCTTGGGCGCCCATTCACTTTCACCTCACTCTCTTTAGCTTCACACGCCAGCTTTCCTGCCTTACTAGACCTTATTTTGCTCTATCACTACATCTATCTATCACTCCACTCTTCCTTCCATTCTTCTCTCTTGACATTGACTTGGCCAATTATGCTATCCGCAATGGCGCTGCGGCGTATTGCCATTGTCACTGCTCTGGTAATCTGTGCGACTGCTCAACAGTGCTGTAAGATACTTTCGACCGTTTCTCATGTACCCTTACTAATTGGCAACGGACTATCCCAATGGCGACAAGGCTCCCGACACTGAGCAACCCTGCTCCTCAGCAGAAGGCTCAGCCTGCTGCCCAGAAAAATGGCAGTGCCTTGACAATGGCCTTTGTCACTATCCTGCTAATAACTTGTACGGCAGATATAGCTGTACCGACAAGAGTTGGAAGTCGGAAGCCTGTCCCTCCAACTTGTGCACCTACGGTTAAGCGTCTGATAACTCCATCTCGATAGGTCTAACAAGCATTAGATCTCAAAGCTGCTGGTGGCGAGTCAATAACACAATGTCCCGACCACAACGACCAATGGTGCTGTAACGCTGACGCTGTGCACGTCAATTGCTGCCAAGAGTCTCCATCACCGCGACCCTTCTTTGCCCTGCAGAATCCAGCAGCATATGCCACCGTTGGCTCCACGACAGCGTCAACCGTACCGAATCTTGCAAGCATAACAGGCCAAGCAAGTGGGGGTGGCTCTGGAGACCAGGCGTCAACATCGCCAAAATCTGTACCCCCATCTTCTTCAACTTCGCCCGCATCCTCGTCGCCAATTTCAAATACCCTATCGTCTCCTACCTCACCTGATTTACCTGCGTCGGTAGACTCGCGCTCAACTGCTACACCATTCACTTCGATATTCTTTAGTCTTTCGTCAGGGTCTACCGGATTTGTCAGTGTTCCTGTCACAAGCTTCCTGCTGCCTACTTCAGGAACTAGCAACTCAGCAAACGGTCGCGGTAACGGGCGCGGATCAAACTCAAATTTGGGATTGATAATTGGCTGCGCAGTAGGCATTCCTTTGGGACTTGGATTGATTGGCATCATCTTCTTACTTTTCCGGAAGAGGCGCCAACAAAAGAGTGACTCCTACAGTAAAGCCGATGGGGCGGGCGAAGACAACCCAAACATTGCAGGTGCTGCTGGCGCCAAACTGACGAAGAGGGAGATGTACCGCAACTCCGCGTCTGCTGCTGAAATAGATGGAAATCCTATAGGCGTTGGGCGACCAGTCTCCACTGTTCAGGGCCACGCAGAACTGGCATCAGGAAATGGATTCCATGCAGGACACAGCACGCCCTACGGACCAGACGCAGTTGGCATCGGTGGCGGAAACCTCCATCCAGATCGAAACACTTGGGATAGTTTTCCACCCCAATACTCACCAGGGCAGAACCAAGCGGCTTTCAATCATCCAGAAGCGAGCGAGTTAGCAGATACAAGCATAAGGCCAGCCGTTGATGAGAAGGGAGAACAGCAGTATGTGGCATACAGACCGCAACTAGCAGCTGAGATGCCGACTATCACAACCTCACCCGAGGATGCGGAGAAGTAGGGGCGTCCGTAGAGATGAACCAAATTGTGGGTTCTTTCGAGGGAGAACGCGCATGTACATGGTACGCTGCATGATGCCGATCTTACATTTTCTTTTGTACATACATTATAGGTCGAAATGGTACGTGTGAATGAGGACGTCGCCAATATAATGGCTGGATATCTGAGTCATTGGGTAGTATCCAAGGGAGAGAGGACTTGCTTATGATAGTTGTCATGAACACTACATACCATGACCTGAATTGATTGCGCAAGCAAGTCCGGAGAATTTATCACGTGACAAGTCTTGGCGCATGTGACCAAATGATGGCGGTGTGTAGTACTAATACATATTTAGTATATATGGGGGTGAGCGAGTCATGTCACTCGGCCCTGTCGTCAGCCCTCGGAAGGGCGCTCAACGATATTGCCAGATAACCGTGTCGCATCCGGTATTTACATGCCTGGTGCTCGCTCTACTACCTCCTCATGTCGTCTTACACATTTTCGCATAATCAAGCATATTTCAGTCATCATGGAATACTTGCCAGATGAACTTGCGCTCCATATCATTTCGTGTAGGTGCTCGGAGATAGCATGCGCCCCCATCCACCCCGACCCCCACTCTGACCGACCAACTTCCTAGACCTCGAACCCTATGAACTCGCCAACCTCCAGCACGTGTCCCGCCGTTTCCTCAACATCTGCCGCGATAGCAATCTCTGGAGGTCCCTATGTTTCACGCATTCTGCTGCTGAGCGCCGTCGTCGCCGGCTCGGGTTGTCGACGGACATTGACCCGCGACTTGTTGAGCTGATCCGCGCCGCCGACACGCTTTCGACTACATTTGACACGTCCGGTCACAGTGCCGATGCCCCTGGCGCCGAGACACAGCACGAGAGGAACAAAGAGAAAATACGGCAGGCCTTGATCACCAACTGGGATCCAAGCTATCCCGAGGAGAAAGTCAATTGGTACCAGGACTTTATACAGAGACATGCCGAACAGCAAATCGGTTGGTTCCAAGATGCAGGGAGTGAGGGCAAAGATGGTGGAGATACCAGGAGAGATGCTACGGGTGCGGGCATTTTGTTCGACCATGATGGGCTGGCAGAACACCTCGTTGCACCCCTTGACGATGGCAGTATAAGCATCTGGGACGCTTCGGCAAGTAGTGAACGCTTTGGTAAAATCGTTGCGAAGAGCGACATCGGTCTGCTGCCTGGTAAGAGCTCCGACTTGGATTATGATACGAGGGTTACACAAAGTCAAGCCATCATGACGGAAACAGGCGCTGTCGAGTGCGTAAGCATCGATAGCAAGCTGCACAAGGGCTTCTTCGCTGTTCAAAACATGTTGAACGAAGTTGACCTCAATGTTCTCAAGATAGTGTCGAGGACCCCGTATCCGTTTCCCATAACGGCTCTGTCTGAAGCTCATCACCAGACACCGCTGACGGTCGGAACAAATTGGACGCTGCATCTTCATGACACCCGAAAGCCTCCCCAGGCCGCATCTTCGGTACGGTGTGAGCTCATCGGCGGCGCGACCGATACTTCTTTTTCCCGCCTCGAAACGGGGGACTTTGGCAGCCATGTCTCACTTTCACAACCAGGCGCGCTTTCCATTCTGCACCTACCTACAGCGCGCGAATGGGACGGCAATGGAGATATCTGGGTCGGGGGCCGCTTTACGAGTATGCTCAATTTTGACCGCAGATACTTCCCCCGGCTCCGCGGTACTGTGCACTCTGGCGCCCGACTTTCGTGCATAACAGCCATACCATATCCCTTTGTGCCACAAGACCTCCGACTTGGCCGGCCGCACCCATCGCCCGCGTTGCTGCGCGAAGTCAAGGCTCTCTCCGGCCATACTTTGATCGCAGCAGGGGAATATAAAGGAAAAGGCTCACTTGAGCTCTACGGCCTGTCCACCGAGCCATCGTTATCCATTAACTCGAGCGATAGCCGCACAACAAGTAACAGGAATGCGTACTATCAGAATAGGCAGACAGCCAGTAGCTCAAAGCTGCTTTCTGTTGCACCGCATGGTACTCGGCTTGTCTTTTCGGATGGCGATGGCAATATGAAGTGGGTCGAGCGTGACGGCTCAACGCCCGTTCGCCAGTTCAACATTAACGACTTCCAACGCTCATCTCCCGAACCTGCATCACAATCTCAGCTTGTCAGCGCACAGTCAGATACACAAGCCGGCTGGGGCGATATTGTGCAAAAGATTCTGCCCACTGTGAATCCATCTCTGCTTTGCCCTCACTCTCCCTCGTCAACCGAAGCACTTGGTCTCGACAACTTGATATTGTGGACTGGGGATGGTAAGCTAGGTATGGTGGGCTTTGGGCGCGATCCACCATTTGAAAGGGATGTGTTTGAAGATGCGCTTGAGCAGCAGGGCAATGATGCAGGGGAAAAGGTGAGAGAGAGGGAGTATAGTGCTGAAATGAGGAGAGCGCTAGAGCATCAGGCGAGAGAATTGAGATGGCTGAGGGGGTATGGACTGTAGAGTGGGGGGTGTATAGCTAGAGTGTTTATGGTTCGAGTGATGAAAATAGATATACAAGTTAGATAGTAAAAGCCATGTACATAACTACATTAGTATGGTGAGCTCATCAACTCGAGTGGATGTAACGGGTTGGTCATCTAGCGCGAACCCTTGGTTCTCGCTCCCGCATGACGCGCGCCACCAGATACCATCACCTCTGTCGTTTATCGCATGTATCCTTGTCCCGGCCTGCGAATTTTCCCATTACGGGTAGGCATGAGAACATGATGCTCCAACCCCATTGTGTGTCGTTTTCATGTTCGGCTATGCGGCACATCATGCGGCACATCGTGCGCCTAGGCCAAGACACGTCTCCACGATGGTCGTACTCTCACATGCCAAACGCGTGACAACTGGTAACACATACACGCGATCCTTATTTGCTGCATACCGGACGAATGAGGCGCTCTTTACAACGTGCTACACGCGGTAAACATGTCTCTGTACCGGTGCTATAGTTGGCGAGCTGACAGTTACGTTCAGGATGGCTGGTCTTACCCCTCAGCAGACACCCCTCTCGCTTGCGATCCTATCCCTTCCTCTTGCAACAACCAGCCAACAGCGCGCAAGGAGTCAAATCACCAAAGGGCGACAATCGTGATGAAGAACGAAGCAAGTTTGCTCGAAGTGTCCTTGAGGGAAGCACCGTTGCTCTGATATCGTTATTTGGTCTAGGCTTAGGCGGCTACGCATACAGCCTGTTCTACAAGAGAACAGTAGCGAAAAAAATTGAGAATGCCTTTGATCCAGGGTACAGCTCGCAAGAGCGAGTTGCTCTCGGTCGCGTTGCATACGGCACTGAACCAGAAAAAACACAAGAGATTGTGGAGCGAGAATACTGGGTCCCAAGAGCCGAACAGCCGGACATTGACAACATCGTAAATGGGAAAGCAAGAGGGAAATACTACCTCGTCATTGGCGAAAGAGGTACCGGAAAGAGAGCATTGCTTTTGGAAGCTATGAGAAAGGTTAATGGCGATGGCATTGCTATGCTAGAAGCTCATAATGATTTGGAAGTATTTCGCCTACGCCTTGGTAAAGCCATCGACTACGAGTTTCATGAAGATTATATTGGTGGCTTGTTCAGCATTAGAGGCCCAAGAGACAGTTCGCCCTTGTTGGATATTGAGAGAGCACTCAACCAGTTGGAGAAGGTAGCCTGGTCCATGCGGAAACGGCGTGGAAAGCCTCTGATCATGATTATCAACAACATCCACTTGTTCAAGGACGATGAGCCAGGCAAGCATCTGTTGGAGATTCTCCAGCAACGAGCCGAGATTTGGGCGGGTAATGAGCTTGTCACAACGGTCTTTACGTCGGATGAGTTTTGGACGCTTGAACGGCTGACACCGCACGCGACCAACATGGGAGTTATGAGTATCAGAGATGTGCACAGGGACACCGTCACCAAAGCACTCAGGCAATACAGAGCACGATATCACAACGAGGATACGCCAAAAAGCGTTCTTGATGAAGTTTTTGCCCAGGTTGGTGGTCGTCTCATCTTTTTGAATCAGGTTGCAAAATCACAAAACATGCTGGAAACTTGTCGCCAAATCAACCGGAGAGAAAAGTCATGGTTCCTCAACAATTGCTGGATTCTGGGCGACTCCATGGACGACGATGTCGAGGAACAACAAAAATACTGTGCCGCAGCCATCGTCTTGGCGCGCGCTCTAGTTCTCCGCGAACAAGACTCTGACGGAGAGGAATTCACGCTCCCCGAGATACCCCTACACGAAGCACGACAAATCATTACACGAGCAGACTTTGTACACCCTTTTGACCACATCAACGTCGTTCACATCGATGCGCACGGCATGGTGCGCGCAGATTCAGTCCCCATGCAAAACGCCTTTCGAGACGTCGTCAAGCAGCCTGGTTTCGAAGAGCATTTGAAAGCAACGCTTAATCGGTTGGATGAGTTGGAGAGTTTAGCACGAACAAGAGAAGTTGCGGTGAGAAAGCTGCCTGATCGGAGCGGAGGCATTGTTCCTGTACAAACATATTGTGCAAAGCTTTGAAAGGATCCAGTAGGATGGTAAGAAGAAGAGAGTATCCATGCTGGTATCACAAATACCATTGTACGTGTTACTAGATTATGTAATGCATATTCCCTTGTTCAGCCGATTAGCGCAGTGTTACTCAGTCATGGAATTTACGGTGCACGGTCCTGTGTAGCATTTAGGTTCATGGATATCACCTGCTACTCCACGACTCGCAGACTTGGACATATGGGCTGCCGCAGAAAGAACCGGTGCAATATCTACTTTGCGCCAGTTGAATGACTGTTGGAAAGTAGATTAGATGCTGTCGTCAAAATCTTTTTGTGTCAAACATCTCAAGGAGTTCTTGGCTCATATGGTGCAATGCGTCTGTGTGGTACGTTTCGTCTAAAATCAGCTCCGGAGAACGATTATGCTACCAAAAATTTCAAAATTACGGTGCCGAATGATCAAATCAGTTCTATCCACCCTAACGTTCATACACAATATGGGGTTTGTGTTGTGAGCCTAGCTCATAATCAGCTCTTGAGGCCTGATTTTGCTCGTAAAGAGTTGTAAAATTCTCAACCACACGGCCGGTTATGTTATAAATAGCCGAAAACTAGCGCTTGCAACCAGTCAGAGACCATTCAAGAATTTTTAATACGAAATAACTTCAACATGGCTTCATAATGATTGCGAGCTAGTTTGACAAGAGTGAAGGAATCGTAAGAGCGCTTTCGCATTGAGTATGATCTAATTTTGGAACAAGGAAAATTGTAACACCAGCTACGCAGAGTGTGAATTTCGACAGATGGGTTCCAGACATATAAAGTTGAACAGGTGAATGAAATCTCTAGAAAATCACCCATCACATTTACTTCATCACTCCATCCCAACTCTACAAAATCTCCAGTTCATCAAACCCAATATGATGTTTACCAAGACTCTCGTCTTTGCTTTCATCAGCACTGCTCTGGCATTCCCAGAAGGCGTCTTAGTCTCCAACGGGCTCACTGGGGTTTCAAAGATTATAACACGTGACATTCCACGATCGGAGTTGGCCAAACGGGAATTTGATCGCACTGTTATTTCAACCGAGGATCACCCCACCAATCCATTGTTGGCTCGGCAATCATGCGTCCTTTGTACACCTGATAGTTGCGGTCCTTGTGGACTTGTAGGTTAACCGTATACTTACTTTACCTGACTGAAACTAACTTATGATAATATAGACCGGAACAAGTGTACGTTATCTTCTATACCCATTAGTGCAGCTCAATAAACCTCTCTCTCTCCCTCCCTCTCTCTCTATTCTATCACCTGATACTAACTTTGTCTTTAGATATCGGTACGATTATCTCCTTCACCCCCTCTTATTCTCAGATTTCTGCTAACATAAATGCCTATGGAAGATCTGCTGCCTGCTAAGTTCAGGTACCTTGAACATTACATCACTCTAACAAAGAAAAATAGAAGAGCTTCTGTGGAGCCATTTGTAGATGAACCTCAGGAGGATATCAACGAAATTCGCTTGTAGTATGAGATTCCTTCACACACGAATTCAGCGTAGCTAACTAGACGCTAGATAGCGATATATGGTGGCCCCTTCGGCTTAGCTTCATTCAAGTTTTGGTGCCGAAGAAGCGTCCTTGAAACGCGTTTCTGAATCCAACTACTACATGTTCTGGAAATCTATCTATACGTGTATATACTACTACAGATATCCTGTACAACTTAGCAATGGGATGTCTATATACCCCCTCTAGAAACAAGTCAACTGATTATCAGAAGTGACTGATTCTCTCTTCTCTTGGCCTTCTTCTTGCACTTACGCCCCTCATTCTGTCAATGTTTATGTGGTTTCTATAGAAACTACCACCTTGGAACTTGGCTTGGCCTCGAAAGCTAAAAATATTGATTGCATCTTCCTTCAGTTCCAACATAGACTATTTCTCTCTTCGAATGCTATAAAGCGTTGGGTTTTCTATGAAAGTGTAGCAACTTCGGTCAAGTTATACGAACCTTGTCATGTTAGTTGAATCAGGCGGGCTTGAAGTCTTTTGATGAGTGGTTTAAATCAGCCACGGATCCGGACCTATCCCTGTTGTGCTCCAGTTGATGTGAGTATTGATGCCATTGATAGGTCTTAGGGTTCACATTTGTGTCTGTCTCCGCAACTTCTACAACGACTGTCTTATGCCATATAATTTCAGCTTGGCGCCATTGCATTACCAGCCCAAACGGACTCCCTTACTCACCGGTGCGGGTCTATAGGTTGCGAAAGTCTTAAAGTCACAAGTTCTAGTGCTTTTGCAGAGTGATGTGGGAATGAAGCACGGTTTAGACGCATTCTTGAAACACAGCTCACTCATCCTCCCTCAGTTTGTATCAACATGACTGCATCAAGCACGAGGTGCGAAGATATCTAATACTACATTAAATCATTTGCTCCCTTGCCACTATTGAATCCCATCAGAAGCCCGCAGGACAAGCGACCGTCTCTCTAACCAGGTTCACAGGTGTCTGTGACGCTGGAGGGTTATGATAGAAAATCAGCTGTCCCGTAGAAGAGGATAAGAGCACACTTGACTCGTGGGCAGCGTGAATGCATTGCAAACCAGCATTCGGTGTTGTCCTACAGGTTGTGAATTCAACTGAAGAATCACCCGATATCCCGGGTCTAAAGTAACTACTATTGAGAAATCCAGTTGAAGACACGGAGGATGAGACTCGATATGATACATCGGAGTATACAAGGTTGGTGGAAGTTCTGAGGAAACAATTGTTCATTCCCACGGCGTATTGCTTGAAAATAGCTTTGTTGGTAGTGGACAATGTTGCAAAGTTGCGGGGATCCACGCCCATATAGCCTCCAGAGATTGTGTCTTTGACTGTAAAGCATCCATAGATAGGTACGCAACTTCTGGCTGGGGCAGCGGCTTGAACAGTAGTAGTGGAAGTCGTAGTCGATCGGATAGTCGTAGCGATCCGGAGCGTTGTGGCGATGGTAGTAGTAGGAGTCGGTGCGACATCAATAGTAGTGCTGATCACAGTCTGAGTCGTGGTAAAAACAGTTGAAGTGGCTGTGATTTGGGTCTCTGTTATTGTGTCAGTTGCAACCTGCGAACAGGCGGCCGATAGCAGTGATCCCGGCCAGTTCGCAAAAGATGCAGGGGTAGGCAATGCCGCGCGTTTCGCCAGATCAGGACTAGCAGCGATAAGAGAAGACACAACAGAGGCTGGTAGATCTACATAGGGCCAAATATCGGTGTTGATAGAGTAGGCTGTGGTTGTGGCGTTGTTGGCGAACCGTCGCAAACGTGCAGGAGCTGGCTGGGTAACAGTCGTGGTAACAGTATCTACCACTGTAGTTGGATCGTAGGAAGTGATAATGGTAGAGGTTGTAACTGGATTGGGAGTCGAGGTAACGGTGGAATCGACAGTGGTGACAGTGACAGTGCTGATAGTTGAACCCGCGGACACTATACTGGTGGGTGCAACATATTTGATGTAGGATGAACAGAAGGCAGCATTCTCTGGTTGTCTCAAGTATGAAATATCAGAATCGCAGATGGGCTGACCGGGATCGGCATCATTCGAGTAGATCTCTGAATAGGCTATCGTGTAGTGATCGCTGCCACGCCATTGTCCCTCGTTGGAGATGACATCTGGTGTGTTTGGCCACGTAGTGTTGTACATTGAACATATCTGAGCTTGCGGCACTCCATTCTTCATGAGGATGTACGTGTTGAAGAACCGGCAGATGCTCCTGGAATTCAGATGGTCGATATTGAACCGAGATTCGGCCTCGCAAGCGGTAGCGCAGCGGGATGGATCAAACGGAGCACCATCGCTTAATTCCTTGTAGGTAATATATGTGTCGCGACCATTACAATCCGAAGGTGCGTTGACGGCCTTGTTGCCAACGAAGGTACCAGTGTACCCGGGAACCGACTCAGCGGCGGATGGGTTACGAACATAGCCGTTAGAGCCAGCGATTACAACACGAAAGTCGTTACGCCACTGACCATCGTTGGTAGCAGTTTCCGGGGAAAGGACAGTGCCCCACAAGACACATTTGATAACAGTAGTTGATGCAGGATTGGGGCAGGCTATAGCAGGAACCTTCTCCGGATCACGCTCGAATAAGATGTTGAAGGAAAGACATCCTTTGGTGGTCGAGCATTTGGCAGCGCAAGCTTCAGTGTCATAACTGGATAGGGAAAAGTATCCCATGTAGGACTAGTCAAATTTTTGTTAGGATTTTCGAAAACCTGCGTTTTGTGAGGCTTACAGATGTCTACGACGACGCTTTCATGTTCTGGAACACGTTCACATATCCTTCTGGAATTTTCGCACCATTGGCGACATCTGAAAATTTAGAGAAAGCCAGGAATGCCTCTGGAGTATCCGTTGAAGGCACTGGGCCTGATCCGAGCACCTGACCGGAGCAATCCCAATCGCGCTTCAACAATTTTGCATGAGGAGTTATGGTATCATTGAGGGCTCCTTCTCCCATAGGAATAGTTACTGGAGGAGCCACCTCATCAGGCTCGACTATAGCACTCAGATCCATGTGCTGAGGGATTGGAGTTGCTGCTGCAAGCGTTATAAGCGCAAGAAGCCCAGTTGATCTTCTCATAATGAATAGATAGTAGAAGTTACGAGATGAGTGGATATAGTTGGGTATAGCTTTCCGCTGGGAGTGAGCGGGTGCTGCAATGGATCGTAAACAAGTACTGCCGTTATTGTCATGAAAGAGAGAACGTAGGCAATTTATTTCCAGCGGGATCTTGGCGGCGCCTCAGCTGACGAATTCATCTTGGTTTTTCACTAGAAAGACTGAGATATTTTCAGCAAGTGGCGTTGTAATGCTAAGAGCTGAAGAAGCCTGAAGAGAGCGATAGTGGGTGCTTTCCAAAGGTCTGAACACAACAAGTTAACCTCATCTAGACGGATATTGGTTTAGCTCCAAATCTTGATGAATCAGACACCTAGGCATCGGGTACTAGGGTTTGGGAATCGTTAAACTGATAACCTGTCTCGTCGCCAAGAAGCCACATACTGTACTACCGGAGATTAGGACTAGTACACGCCCCCATTGTGAACGCATCTTCTCTGGTTTCACCGGAGACACCGGTCAACAGGCTGTATCGAAACATGCTTAGCCATGTTGAGAACAGAGACTACTATGTCCACATCTTGGTCCAAGCAAGAGAAGAGCAAACTGAACGTGCTACAACTCCAATGAAAATGGCCTCAAACCGCCCTTACAGTGTACTGTACCGGTTACAATCCGACACATGGAATGTTATCGTCATTGCGCTTTGCATAATAGATGAAAAAGATGCCGTATGTCTGACCGCTACATTGGCAGCGCCATCCACGGACGACAGCCAGCCTTATTGTTAATGAGATCCGAAGTGTAACCTCTGGAGCTTGCAAGTCGCATTCCTATTATCCAGCGGTGACAGAACGAACACCAAGTCCAACGCGTTCGCTTCAGAATCTCCCATGTGATCTAATCGTTCTTCTGAGAATCTAAAGATTCAAACCCAGATTGTTGAACACTGTCCTTGTTGCAGCCACGGCCAATACGAAAACATATCCCATTGCTCTTTGGTGAAAGTATCGTAACGCTGAGAGTTCAGCTCTCAGGGTGGAGTTGGGCTTGGCCGTGACCTGCCAAGTCATACACCCCTATGTTGGGTCCGCCACATTCTTCGCAGCGAATTCTGCCTGCTGTTCCTCAACATTGGTGGCATGCTGTGTGCTTTCGCGCTTGTGATATCTGGTCAGTTGATATTTGCCGTGAGCTCGAGCACGAATGAGCGGTGAGGATAGATTGTAGTAAGGCAGCAAATTTGGTTGTGTACAAGAAATCCGGATCCGGATCCGGTTCCTTCATCATTCCATATTCGGCTAGAAAAGAAGGAGTGTGGTCATCAAGTTGAATTCGCGTTATAATACCAAGACAGGAACACCACCCGAAAGTATGCCTCCTGGAGCGCCATGGCAATATGCCCTTGAAAGCGCAGAATTGCTTCGCACGCCACGCTAAGCTTCCCAATGACTCGCTGCTCCGAGTGTATGTTTTCTGGCCTCCTTTTCCGCTGCAGCAAAAGCTTCCGGCTTTTTCTTTTTCTCGTCCTTCAGCGTATGTTTCTCCCAGTCCTTCAGGACCTGAAGCGTGGCTACAACGAGTGCCTGATCTACTTCCGGAGATCGTATATAGATTACTTCATCAGGCAGGTTTCCTGCAGTATTATTGACTCCACCGTCCCAAAAGCAGTGGTCTGCAACGATATGGCCATACAGCGGATCCGGATTGTATCCTGAAGCGACGAACAGCGCATGTCTGAGGGTATCGTACCTTGCGCCATCGATTGAGGACACTCTGCTGCTCGTGACCCACATGTAGGCGCGTCGGTCGGTCCCGATAAATCTCAAGGAGTCGTAATTCAGCGCATGTACGTATGTTGTCATGATGTCTCTGGAGTTGGGTCCACTTGGTGTTAGAACTTCAGACTTTCGCATATTGGTTTTGGGATCTATCTTGAGCTCATATGTCCACGTAGTGGCCTGTTGTTTGCTAGCCTTCTTCCCAAGATTCTCGAGTTGCTCATTGCACGTCATAGTCCAGGACAGCTTTGGGGTACGAAAGCTGCCGCCAATAGATTTGAATTTGAAAGAAAAGGTTGGAGGTACAGAATCCTGTCCCCTTTCTGAAGGCCGTTCTTCGCTCCATGTCGACGATGCCGGCGTATCGAGCCAGCAAGAACCTGAGGCATGTTTGCCTCCCCGGCCGGCGTACAGTGTTTGAAGTATGGGTGGTGGAGTCCATTGTGGAGGATAAGGCGCTTGGCGATATTTTTCTACATAGGATGGCAATGAAGCATGGTCCAGAGCAACGGGTAGGTGGCTCACGGGTCGTTGGTCTGGGTAAACTGGTATCGGGAGAGTTTGCTCTGCGAGTTTGGGACCTGAGTATCCGGTGGGAAAAGGCTCCACCACAACTTCTGGTAATGTGCTGAACCTAGTCGTGTCTATCTTCTGAGCGTGATTCAGAGATGCTGGACTCCATGGTGCAGCATGTGTCCCTACGCTTTTTGAGTGGGGCCGTAATGATTGTGCAGATCGGTGGTGTGTAATGGGTATTGAAACCGAGTTTCGAGGTGCTACACCGCATGGGGATTGGTTATTGGAATAGGAAACGCTCCGGGAATGTGGCCGCAGCATTTGAACAGACCGGTGTTGGTGCAGTGATGGCGTGAGGTGTTGGGGGCTTCCAGGAAACGGGTTCATCAACGGTGTAGAGTTTGTGACCTCTAGTTGCGACATGCTACGCGCAAGGAGTTCATCCTGCTTCAATTGCTCTTCGGATGTGGTTGTTGGTGGGGCCGGTGGTAATGGTGCCGGTAATTCTGCGATTACTGGAGCTGGCTCTGTGCTGCCGTAGTGAGGTTGAACGTATGATGCTGCAGCTATCGCATATTGAGTGTACTCGGGGTGGTGGTTTTGTGAGTAATGGTATACAGGCTGCGCCGGTGAAGGCGGCGTTTGTTGATACTGCCGCGACTGCCACGGCTGTTGATATGGATTGAAATTCGGTGATGCCATGACCCCTTGCAGATTCAACTCGGTACCGTTGGTTGCGATAGGGGACTCGACTGTTTGCGCGCAATGAAAGGGCCAGCTCCTGCCCAAGATGTCCGACTAGAGGGATGCGCGGTCATGTGCGCACGACAACCAGTCGAGGTGATACGTTGGAGAGCCTCGTCCCAGACAGAGACGGGTAAGCCTGCTGGTCTAAGGTAATGTATGCAGTGTGTGATACTGTGGGATGTGGGGAGTAGTCAGTATCAACCTTTGTTTTGGCGCGTCTCAGCCCCCAGCGCGGGACACTGGTTGCCTAACCGATCGCCCTCAGCCGTCCTCACATCGGGCGGCTAGCCACCCTCTCGCAATTCCCACAGTACGATAAGTATCAGAGCAACCTCGCTCACGCAGATGCTAAGGTGGAGTACGAAGGGGAATGCATGGGTCAGAAAGACGAGGTGATATATCTTGGCGAAGTTGCTGGGGGCCATAGTAGTACTGTAGTAGTAAGTAACAAGCAGTAGTAGGTGCTTGTGGGGAATGCGCCACCCTTCCCACGCGCCACAATGCTGTCAAACTTAGCCATCGTCCCACGCCCCGCAGATACTATACGTCATGGTTGTGCATGTGTCGAGGGGGCAGCATATCATACGTTATGGTGATCTACAGTGTACTCCTCCGTGGCCATGGATCTCAGCTTCCACAGCCTATCCTTGGTGGGCCATAGTCGACCATCTGCAAGGCTTAAAGTCGCTTCTTCCAAAACTACACATCTACGGTACGGCCATCATAAATACCTTTGCAAAGCTTTAGGCGTCCAAATTCATTGCGCCATGCTGGCGCACACGAGGACAGTCTCAAATGGGGCTTTTCTTGATGCAGGAAATGAATGAGATGTGTGACCTGATGCCAGGGAGCCCGTCTCGGTGTGACAAATGCGGCGGTTTCATTTCGCTCCAGCCAGCTAAATTTAATAGGTACTAGCAAACGTCCAATCACTGGGAGGGCAGGGAACCTATCCACATTCCCGAAAATACCAACTGGAGTCAAAGCTCTACAGACTATGCTGCAAGTCGGGCGTTGGATGTGGATGTGCTTGCTATATCTTGTACCTCCAATCAATCTGATACCATATGTTATCCTCTATCCTCATTGTACATTTTACATCAATCGCATCAAACACAATCCAGCACAACAAATAGCAACGCATTTACGACCTGAACCATACAGCACTTCAGTCTCTATAGGAATTAGGTTATGTCAAGATAGTGTTAGTAGAAACTGCAATGGCGGGCAGTATTCATCAAGGCTTCATTCCGCATGTGATAAGATTGATTCTTGTCTGCTCCTGCTCCATGGCTCTCTCTATTTGTACAATGCGTATGCGAAGCGCGTGGTGCGCCATCGTCCCGCAGGGCTAGCGCCGCTTCAACATCTATCTACAATCACAGTTGACACTGTAAATACACATAATAAGACTACTGTAAGAAAGATGAGGACTTACTCGCGTTTTAGCAAAAACATATCAGGAAGGTGGTCGTTGAGCTACTCTTGTAAATTTCCATTTCATTATACTACTTTTCATACAATAGCCTGATGACTTGGTCATTAGTTTAGAGACCAAAACCCTTACAAGGCCCATCCTTCCACGAATACTCATCCTCCCAACACACATACGGAATCTCCCTAAATAGAAGCTTTTGCGCTATAATTGGTGAGAACATGTCAGTGACTGATCGTATGAGGTAAAAAGAAGTAGGAGTCTTTGACACCAAGAAAGTGGGGGCTATCGTGAAGGAGTGGTGGGACTTACTGCAAAAAACCAGCTTCGCATCTACAGAAAGTTCGAGATACATGGGGTACTTCTGGTTGTACTTCTTACTGTAATACTCGACGTAGTTGTACCTGAAACCCATCAAGTTGCCGTCGCCGCATTCGAACGTGCTAACGCCGCTGCAGTCCTTATCCCATAGGAGAGGGCAGTTTCGTGTGGCTCGACACTTTTCGACACCGTCTTCCTTGACCCAAGCTTCGAGTTCGATGCCGGAAGTAATGCCCATGTGAGCCTTGATATGTGCTTGGAGGCAGGGAACTTTCTCCGACTTGGCGCACATTCCCGACGCGCAGAAGCGGATGTAGTCGCATCCGCCATTGATGCTGCCGCCACACCCGTTCTGTCGAGCAGCGATAAGGCTCATGTCCCTTATTGCGACGCTGGTCTGGTTTTGTGGGGTTTTCGGAACGGAAACCTCCTGCTCGCCGGGTTCATCATCAGCCGGTTCCTTCTGGCGATAAGTGTCCTCTTCAAGCCTTAAACTGGGTTCAGGTGTCGGAACCGATGGGGCTACTGCGATGAATTTATCGTCGATAAGGGAGGGGGGCGCCGTTGCGTCAGCTGGGGCAGCAAGAAAATCTGCCTGGGCACATCTGGCTATGACAGTGGTGCTCAGGCAGATGGAGTACTCGCCTGAACACGAAGGGGTGCCCGTCGCAGAGTATGTAGAGTAGCAGGGCCTGGTTGGTACGCAGAGATCTTGAGTTACGCAAGCCGACTTACCACCAGACCCATTACACCTGGTCGTGTGTAGATACGAGCTGCACTCACTACCACTATAAGGCGGCTCGAGCGTCGTGAGAGTGGGTGCTCCTGGGAGATTCGGTCGTGTTGTAGTAGGAGAGCCCTGTCCTCCGTTACCATTGCCTCCGTTGGATGTTTTAGTGCCGCCTAATGGGTTGCGATTCCATCCCCAAGTAGTTATTGTCATTCCGGAAAAGATGGTGGTTCCTTGTGTATGGCTTACGCCGGCTGGAATCTGCTGCTCATGCGTGTCCTGCAAATCGGGGTCATACGTAGGGCTACAGCCTTGTGAGCATGCTGTACAAAGTTGGTTGGAATAGAGCACGAAACTTACGCTGGGCAGCTTCCGCCTATGGTAGTCGTTGCTGTACCAGTGGCTGAGCATTCTCTGACAAGTGAAGTGGAGTAAGTTGTACAACTCGTTGTGCGCTGAGCGTCACAAGAGACCCAGCGGTCTGTGACAGTTCTCGTGGTGCACTCTTCCTCTCCCTCTTCCGGGTCATTGGGATCACGACTACCGCCACCACCACCACCACCTCCTGCGCCACCACTACCGTGTGGGCAGACCGGTCCAACGCAGTTAAGATTAGGAGTGCTGCAAAGGGGGCCAATGCAACCGCAAATACATATGCAAGGACGCCCGCGACCTCTACCGCCACCGCTACCGCCACCACCTCCACTATTATCATCGTCTTCTCCACCGCCGCAATTGACCTTACAACGGCTTCCACACTTTTGTCCAGGCTTGCAGGTCGGCTTTGGCGGCCCCCTGACGGCAGTGACAGATGATGGCTTACCCGGAGGTGGTGGTGGCGGAGGGGGGAAAGGGTTATCATCGTCCGAATTAATGGTAGGCCAGGGCCCAGGAGAATATGTCCAAGTGACGGGTGGCTGTCCTGTCCTGGTCCTGGTGAGAGTGACTGGCGGAAAATCGACGCTCGAAGTGAGGCCCAGTGTAGTCCGACTCTTCTCATCCTCATTCCTGCTGCTGATCCATATCACGTTCCACACTTCGATCAGGGTCGTGGTGACGGGGGGCAGCATGATGACCGTGCTGGTTGTCACGATGGTTGTGTCCCAAGTATCGAGAAATGAAATGGTAGCGGGTGGCCGGGAGATGGTCGTTGGCTTGTCGAGGGACCACGGGGGCATGATGAGTGTGCACGGCGGGAAACACGACGCGACTGGGTTCGGATCGTCATAGACCTCGGGCGCAATGTAAACGGGCCCAGAACCTTTACCATTTGACGGTGCCTCAAGACAGGCGCCACTCTGGCAACCTTTACCGCAGTGAGCCTCAGAATCACCGCAGTAGCCGAACGAGGAACAACAGCTTCCCTGGGGCCAGAGACCGCAGAACATGCCGTTGGCCGAGGCGCCGCATGATCCATCAGTCGTTTCCTGTCCCACTAAACATTTTCCACTCACGCAGCCAGAGCCGCAATGTGTCTCGCTGCTACCACAGTAGCCATATGACGAGCAGCAGTTGCCAAAAGTGCTGCCCTCGCACTTGAAGCCGCCATTATTGGGACCACATCTTCCATCGGTGGAAATGGGGGCACTGTCACCGTCACCAGTGCCCGAATTGAAGTCGACGGACCATGCCATGGTGCCGCCAAAGCAGAGGTTGTTGGCAAACTTGCGCTTCATCTCATGTGTCTCCTCGTCGTCGTAGCCGATCCACTGGTCATCCCAGATGAGCTCTTTCATCATGGAATCAGTATTGAGGCGTGGCGAAAGGTTCTTCTCCTTTATAAGCTTCTTGATCTCAAGGAGTGACATGACTCCCGCCTGGCGGGTGCACTCGGCCGGCTTGCTGGGGCCCGAAAAAGGGCACAGGAGCTTGTTGCAGCTGGGATCTGTAATGAGTTGTTAGTTGACATACACTGGCAATCGCTTGAGGGCGGCTCAGCGTACCTGACAATGTATATCCTCTTCCGTACCAGGCAAGGCCAAAGTTGATCTTGGCCGGATCCAAGTTTGCATACCAGAGGGGCAAGGTGTTCTAAGTCACGGTCTGTTAGCGAGATTCCAAAATCATATGTCTATGACCAGAAGCCACCATGTCGGTGTTGACTGAATACTTACTGTGATGCATTAGTAAACGGCGTAAATGATAATGGTTTCATTATAGCTCACCATTGTAAATCTCGCGCACATCTGCCTGGCCGCGCACCAAAGATCCCAAAGTCTCGACATCGGAGTCCCAGGAACCATGCAAATCGTACGCCATGAATCCAAAGAAGTCAACATAGGGCTGCATGGCCTCTGCATCAAAATACCGAAGATACCAATAATCTGGCGCCAGAGTCAAACTGATACCATACTTGTTTCCGTATGCTTCTCTCATCTCCTTGACGAGCTTCGCGAAGTTTTCAGTATCTCCCTTAGCGCCTCCTCGCTTCGGCTCCACAGGGTACTCCCAGTCCAGGTCAACGCCTGTGAAGCCGTACTTATCCATAAACTCAGCTGTAGATTGAATGAAGGCGGCTCTATTCTCACGGGTGGAACATAAGTCGCTCCAAGTCGTGTGTGTGGTGCCCGGGTCACTAAATGTGTAGCCACCAACGGCAATCCAGGTATTTGTGTCGAGGGCCGTGAAATCCTTCATCAGTGGGATATCAGCATCATCCCACGGCCGGATTCTAAAATTCTTTGGGTCAATGGATGCAAACGAGAAGAAGAGATGGGTATAGTCCTTGGCCTTGATATCCTTGGGAAAGATGCGGTTGCACAGACGGTCTCTGCTGTTGGAGGCTAGGTAATACCCGATAATCCGGGCCTTTGTCGTTCCAGAGCCCTCCCCACATGTTTTTGGTCGGATGATCTCGCAGGAGCCGAAGTTTTCCTGGCACAGTGTAAATTTATTTGGCCCAATGCAGTGAACTTCGGATGTCCCACACCATCCACCTGAGATATTATGCTTAATAAGTGACGAGAACAAGTTACAGAATCAATAGACAGTGCTATCACTCACCCCAACTACAGCATAGGTTCATACCGCATTTTGTGTTTCCTCCTTCGGAGAAGTTGCCGCACATGGCCACAGCATCACAGTTACTGGTGCAGCCGACACCACAAAAGTCTTCACCGTAACCACACACTCCCTTAGGGCCGCAGCAACTGGTTCAATTAGAATTTCGATTTTTCCAAAATCTTTCTTGTCTTTGACAAAGACTGAAACGTGAGAACTAACCTCTTGTCGGGGCAAGGAGCCTTTTTGCACAAGAGGCCTCCATTTCCGTCTTCTTCGCGCTGTCTTTTGTGAAAGATGCTACCCGAAAACTCCGAATTCACGGATGAGTCGTTTCTGTTAATCTGGCTGGTTGTAAACAAGGACATGAGGTTGAGATAAGGAATGGGAGGCGCATGCTCCGGAGACTGGTGGGTGATATCTGGGGATTGCACCGCCAGAGCGCTCTGCACGACAATGATGGCAATTCCAAAAAGACACACTGAGTTTCGGAAGCGTGCCAATTTCGACTCTGATACATTTGCCTCGAGGAAAGGACGAGAAGTTCTGTGGAAGGTTGTGTTCCATATAGGATACCTAGGTGTTATGTACATATACTGATACTACTCTTCTACTCATACCAGGGTTATGTTCTCCAGCCTTCAAGTCTAACGGCGTTTCCTACTCCCCATCTCGGTGGCATGGAATGAATCAAGACTTTACTAACCCACTAAAATCCTCGACCTACAGTCCAGGGTATGACCCATTTTTTTGCGGCACAGTTGGGGGAGTCCGTGATTTTTTTTCTCACGGCACATTACGAGGAGCGTGTGATTTCTTCCTGTGGCACAGTTAGAGAAACATACGATTTTTGCATGTGGCACAGTTAGGGGAACGTATGCTATTTGCGGGACTGATCCTTTGCGTGCCAAGCTTCCTAGAAGCGCCGAGTTCCTCCAACATGTATGACTGGTCATTATATTGTACTTAATCTGGAATACAACAAGTCTGGCAGGCGAAATCTGAAGCTTGTGGTCTCGGAGCAATCGGCTATGTGCGCAAGCAACTGCCGAGAAACGGAGAAAAGTTAAATGCGGCAAGAACGTGAAAGGCCAAGTAGCAAGGTATGAGAAAAACAATGGAAGGATCAAGGTGAACCAGAAAAAGAAGAAAAATGCTTAGCGTGTGATCAACAAGCTTTCCAACGCCATCATGCATCACGGTGAAAACAAATAACCGCAAAGACGACCGGGGTCGACGGCGAGAACAGACACGTAGGGCGTAGGAAATATTCGCAGAGAGCACTCAAACAGGTACCGGTCTTGTTTCATTATCGTATCTAGGAAAGTTTGGACATCTCTGAATTTCCATGCAATCACAGTATTTACGCATTGCATGTATCCTTTGGGTTCGAGTTTTCATAACTGCACTGCTCCCGTAAACCATAGTTCGGCTAACGGAAATCAACCTGCTAGCGTCGTGATATGTTCTCGGTTAAGTATATTTGCTAGATAAATACCGCTATCTCTGTTGAGTCTGTGACTCCGTCTTCTCTTCAGACACCCGCCAGGAGAGCCCCACCGAGCGCGTTACAAGCGACCATGACGGCGAATATTGAAGGAGACGCGTTCGGCCGACTTCCCGTGGAGCTCAGGATCAAGATCCTTAAACTATCACCAGACCCCTTATCACTACGGAGCTTGGCCCATGCGTCGCCCACCATGGGCAGAGTGCTCAACAGATATCCGCTCGAAATTGTCGAGGTAGTCTTAGACGCTACCGTTCCCCTGGAGACTCGTCGGCTGATGAGCGCGGTTCTCAAAGCTCGGGTTTCGCGCTTGCCAGCATCCCTGTCCGAGGCGCAAAGGGTGGCTAGAATTGACTCGCCTGTGGTCACAGACGACATGCGCTCGTCGATAGTGGACCGGGCCGCCGCGGCAGTACGGTATCTGCTTGCCACTGCCGAAAATGTTCATGCCTGGTCCCATGTCTGCCTGGAACATCTGATACGAAAATCAATGGAACTGCGGCCCTCTACGCTGATCAAGAATGGGGCTGGCCATACATCTCGGGAAAGGTTCGAAAGGGCCGAGAGCCGTAAAGACTATGTTCCACAGTATACAGGCTCGCCTTCGTGGGTGGAGGGGCAGCGGATGATCAAAGCATTCTGGCGACTACAGTTGTTCCTGGAGCTCCAAGGTGCTGGCAATAAGGGCCGCTTAGACACGTATTGGCCTGGACAAGAAGTTGATGCGTTGTCCAAGAGCAGCCCGGATGGCTTTTACAACGTGTTTGACTTTGAGCGGGAGCAGATCCTAACAGCCTGTGACTTTTTCGACGCAGTCACTTCTGGGACTATCACTTTAGTTGAAGCTATCTACGAAAACACTTATGGTTTGCCAACAATACATTGGAATGAAGGGGCAGTGTCAGGGTGTTGCTGTGCCGAGCCACCCTCATTCGAGCGTAATCAGGACACTTTCCATCAGGGCCCAGAAAACCTCGACAAAACGCAAAATTCATACCACTTCCATTCCGTTATGTCCAGCGATCAATGGCTGGATGGAAGACCGCCTCTGCTGGGCCTTCCCTTTCACCCCTGGCGTAAATATGGGTTCGCCATATGGGACAACAAGCGCATGGCCGACTTAGGCATGAGAGACCTATCACACAAGCCGTTCACCAGGAACTATATAGCTTACTCTTTTCGATGGTTTAGTATCTTGTCTGAGGAGGATCTGCCTTAGGTTATGCATAATCAATAGTCGACCAGTGTATTCGCAGAGATTAGGGCCTAGAGTAATTGATACGGGATCCATACAAGCAATATAAAGAGATGATCAATATATGGATTTGTTACATCGAATGAGAGGAGTAGGAAAACTCACAAGTGGATATTATTGAAAGCAAGCATTCGTGATAGAGGACATGGTTCATGCATGTACGAGTTGGACAGCTTGGCAATGGCGAGAAAAGACTCACATCCGCATTAACTAGGGTATATGGGGGGTTTGAAGTTGTCTGGACAATTCGGTTCTGCTCGTTTGAGCGGATATAGTGGAGAAAATTTTGAAGAAAAGTTTGTATTGTGAGAGTCTAGGCAGATCTTTGGACTCGGGTTGATCCTGCATCCGTCTTCTTAGCTCCTGATGGGATCATTACTCAATATAGAACGGTAACGGACCACAAATGTTGCATGACTGTTGTAGCGCTGTTGGAATTCCACAGAAGGATTCAATCCAATATCAGCATGGCAAACGAGAACGAACGCGAAAGTAGGCCCGGTGGATGCACCTAGCGAACAGAAACGTGAGACATCCAACCCAAAGAAGTTAGCTCAAAGCCGACCTTGCTTATCGAGATATACTCATATTAGTTTATGCTAGGGTCCATGTGCTCATTCCGCAGCCATCGTTTGCCTAGCCCTGGTTCTCTGTAAAATCACTCCACTCGCCTTGCCGCCTCCATCGGGGCTAATATCATGACACATGTAAACATGGATGCTTTGTGACGCTACGAAGACCATAGGCTAACATCGCCCAGAGAGCATTCTCCACCCATGTGAACGATTGACTCATGTGGACACCTTTCGAGACGATGCATTATGTATTACCAGGCTGAGTGGTTCGTAAGCTCATCTCGACAGCCAAGCACATATTGTATATATCCATACGCCTCGACTTCTGCCATGTCCGCGTCTTGCTCCATTCGCTATTCATATCGTTTGTTCAGCTGCTCGTCATGATTTCTGCCGGCATCCTCGGCGGTGCTGGGACAACCGGAGCTAGGAGATATGGCCCTCGATACCGGCTCTTTACTGTCATTGTAGCTATCTGCATTGCGGTGTTCACTGTGTCGTACATCTCTCACGGTGTGCACAATCAACAGCTATCCGACTTACAGCAACGACGCATCTTGACCGAGCCCCTAGAATCCAACCACTTGCTCATTCCGCTGCCGCAGGAACATGTTTCGACTGAACTTGTCTCTCGTGCAGCCAGCCAGGAACTATGGGACAAGAAGGTTGTGAGTGGCAGAAGGTAAACCAAAGCATTGCAAGCTTACTTCCTTCCTTTTTTTCCTATGTTTTGACCCTCTCCTGACAGTTTGTAAGAAAGGACACTCACTGACAACATGGATGCAGTAAGCGAATTCAACAAAAAAACCACCCCTTCTTTCCATCTGCTGACTACCAGAACAGCTCTCTGGTGCATGATGAAATCGGATAACGTCCAGGCCGGAACCGTAACGCGAGAAATCCTCGAGAATACAGGGTGGCGAGAATTGGAAGAAGTTCCTGAACATCTATCAGATGATTGGCGCGAGTCACTAGGAACGGGCGATGGTCTGATGAATACGGCTAATGAGTTCCCTTCACAATGGGATCATGAGGAAGTATGGAAGGACGATGAGGGCAGGGTTAGAGAAGTAAGCCATCATAGTCATTCTACCTTTTTTTTACTAACCACATGGCCTGGCTGTTATAGCCCACCACTGCTGTTATGGGCAACATTGTTAACGGCGAGAATGGCTACATAATCGCCGGCACGAACTGGGGTCCCATGGCATCAAAGGATAACGACATGCCAGTGTGGATGATCCCCAATACAAAATGGACCGACATCGTGGCAGTTCAGTGGAACCAATATGTGGCAGGAAGCGACATCAAGCGCATTTACCGATCTAACGTGATATACCCTGAGTCGAGAGACCTTATGGAAACAGCATTAGAGAAGGTTGGGAAGAGTGGTGACCTGGCTGACCTACCGTTGTGGCCTGGCGTTGATTTCACGCCTGGGAAAAATCCCACCAAGACACCGATGAAGCCCGCAACCGAGGCCTTTATGGGCTTGCTCGGAAGTTCTCATGCTGCTGGTCCTGCGTACTTATTCATTCAATACCGGGCCATATTTAGCAAGAAGAGGATTAACACGATCAAACTCTGGAAAACTGAGGAAGAGGGGAAAGACCCCAAAGTAAACATGCTATTATACGTTGAGGACGTTCCGTAGAAAAGAAGCCTTGGCGATTCCGTCAAATGGGCACTGTTATTGCCTGAGGGACTTCTTTAAAGAAGCCAATGAGAATGGATAGAATTTACTCCAACCACTGCGATATCGAAAACGTGTTGAGGATTATTAGATCTCGTTAGCCCTTTTGCTAACAGTTGGTGTTTTGGTTCCTCCGGGCTATCTGAAAGTGGCTAGATACAGGTATCTACTTCGTGTCTAAACTTGGTGCAGGAGCCCGATGAGGAGAAATTATCAAAGAAAGCTTTTACGGCACTTTGACGTGAGATCTCCTTCCTCCTATCAATGTATTAAAAAGATGTCGAGTTCAATGCTACTAAACTGGGCTTGAATACCTAGGATGTTACTTTTTATTGTTAGAAGGGGAAAAATTCGCTCTCAGCTTGGATGCCCCGCAGAGTACACATATGCGCTTTCTATCTTCTACTCAAAATCGGTTGTCTCGAACGAATATCCGTACTCTGGTCAGGGTCGCGATGCATTAAGTTTGCGGTACCGCCGAACCTTGTCCTGAATCTTGTTGAAAAAAAGGCCCTTCTTATCTTCAAACGTGCAAGACCTCGAGAGAACACCGCTTATGTATGGGATCGTGATTCCTTGATAGAGTACTCGGTGGAACGTTTCGTATTGCTTCGTTCATTATGCAGCGCAGCTCAAGGGTGTCAAGTGGCACATATACTATGCGACCGTTTGAGGCGAGACGTGCGAGCCACGTGCTTATGCCAGGTCACTTCATCTGCAGAACCTGGTATTGCCAGGGCTACTATGTAGGTTCGCATCGCTGTTGCACCATAGCATTCCAACATGCGCATGAAGGCAATCAGCTACCTGGTATGAACTGGTAACGTCATTATATCAGTGAGTTGCAGAAAGAGAATGGGAATGACTGCATAACAGATCGGCTATCTTTCTTTATTGGGTCGATGGCAGCAATGGACACGCCGAATAATCGATCCAAGTAACATCTTATTAACTGCCGATGGAAATGCCCCGAAGGACGGCCGTGGATACAGAACATGTTGAATTTCAGAGGATAGCAAGGGCGGTATATTTACTCGACATGCGCGAGTCATCAATATGGACACAAAAACAATAACGTTGCAGCCACTTCGCTCACGTCCACCACGAGATCTTCCACGAGCTCATCGTATCCCTTCGACCAATGGTATTGAGAAGCGGAGCATTTTATCATTTGCAATGTATCTGGTGAAATGATAGAGTTAGCGCGATAGCCGTCCATGAAAGTTGATCCTTGAATGATGCTGACATGCTGAATGCAGCTTTATACGAAGACTAGTGGCCCTCATCGAGTCATTTGCTGGTTTTGACTCGCTTGAGCGATGCAGGGACAACAACTCTAGGCAAGGCAGCCCAGTAATGTGAAGCCTATCACACATGCGTCTCGCAAGATCCTTGTCCACCAACGTGTGTTGATGTAACCTTTCGCAAGGACTCGCCTAACCGAGGGAAACATGTTCCTATCTGCGTCTAGTGAATGAAGCTGGCATATTAGCGGCCGGAAGTGTATCTTCAGTGTTGTAGTCGACATGCGTGCTGTGGTCGATGCTATTCCAGATTTCTGGCATAACGTTCCTTGGTCTAGTCTCTTTCATGCCGAGTGCTGTAGGGTGGTGTCAGGGCGAGCTGTTCGCATTTACTACAAGCCACTAATTTACTTTTCAGGACGGTATTAGGTTTGTAGACAAGGTACAAAAAGATAATAATCGTCGATCAAACATCGTGCTTGAATAAGAAATGATTGGGAACATGTCCGGTGACCTCGCATCGTTGAGATATCCTAGTAACAGTGCAGTTTGAATTGGAAACCGATTCTTTACATGGTATATTGTTTACTCCACCATAACTTCTCACATATATAGCTATTTCATGCAGCCATGCGACCTCACTTTGGAATGGTTCTGGTGGGGCAAAGGGGGCGTACGCATCGGTGTTCAAGGCGCGCCCCGGCACAAAACACCGTCTTACCTGCAGGGTCATGTGCAAGCAAGGTAGAGTTGGACTTTAAATTGTTGGGATCAAACTAGTCAGGGACATTTACCACATGGATATATACCTGTTTGTATAGACTCACTGTAGAAGATTGGAAGTCACATGTAACCCTTGAGTTTCTTCAGAGGGGTTGAGTTCATGTACGTACTGATTTTGCGTTCTATCTGCAACCTGTAACGATGGCACTTTTCGATGGCAGGTATGCTTTGAAAAAATGATGATTACCACGAGATGGCGGACCCAACATTAAACATTGACACTTCTTCCAGCTTTGTTAACCATGATTGGAGACATTGTTGATTCTCAGCGTTCGCCTATTTCGCAACCACCACAACAGCAACGAGCATTCAGAGAGTCCTGTCAGAATTGTGCAGATTCAAAGGTCCGATGTAGTAAAAACAAGCCGACATGCGCGCGTTGTGCTCGCCGAGGCACGCCTTGTGTCTACCAACAATCCAGGCGTGCGGGGAGAAAGCTCACGTCTGTCGGACAAGCCAAACAAGCGCGACGAGCTGCCACAAATGCCCTGAGCGATGTTTCGAGCTCATACACGTGGGAAGTCGACATTGAAAACAATGACTTACAGCTCTCTACTCCCGGATCCGACACCACACCAAACACCACACCGAACACCACCGCCAGTCAAATGGGCCTCAATGATAGCCAAGCGATCCCAGAAAACCTCTCCCCCATTGAATCTTTTCCCAATATTTCTGGGTCGACAGAATGGTGTTCCAACGAGATGTTCAAAACCCTCTGCATTCAATCAGTTCCACTCATGTGCGGAGACGATGCCGACTTTGCCCTGCACATGTCGCAGGACCTAACAAACTTGAACGATGGATTTATTAGTCTGGATGATTCAGGTAGAGGTTCCGTTCCTGTCGACCTAACCCCGGAGTTTCTTGGATTGCCATTGTCATGGTCGGGCGTTGCAGGAGACACCCACGCGACTGGCTACGAGCCTGAAGATATATCCTCGTCCAGGCCGACATGCAACAAAAATTGTACTGCAGTCATCTCCCGGCTATTTCCAGAGCTGTTCTGTTCTTTTGGAAGCAGATGCGAACGCAGCCAGCTGCAAGGCCAATCATTGGTCAATGTCATCGCCAGCAATGAGAGTATGTCGGAAGCCATGAATAGCATTCTCGAGTGCGAGTGTAGCCAAGATATCCACGTACTATTCATTGTCGGCCTATGCACCTCGAAGGTCATGTCTTCCTATCTCAGAACAATGCGACGTGAGTGTCTCAAGAATGCACAGCGAGCCGGCGACTCAGATACGACGAACGACCATCAGCGAAGCACACTAGACGTAGAAGATAGTGATGCCAAAGCCGAGATCATGGCAGCTCGCATGGTTCTCGGCGGACTCCATCGCATCCAGCAACTTCTGGCTCATCTATCCGAGCGTCTCAAACAGACAGAGCCGGAAGGTGATCTTGCCAACGACTATGCTGGGCTAGGAGGGCTTACAGGAAATGAGTTGAGAAATCCATTTCCCCGCTCAATGCTTCAACAGCTTGAGCACAGCTTACGAGCCCATCTTCGCTATGTTTTTGCAGTATGTCACGCGCGGCTTGGGGCGCATAACGCTGATCCACTATCTACATGGACTACACAGTGCAGTGTCGAGTGCAGAAGGTGATGGACGAAAGAGATATTTCTTGACAAAATTTAAGCCAGGCGTATACGGAGAGACTTGCGGGCTCATCGATGCAGAGATGTAGGGTATGGTTTATTGCATGGTTTCCTTCAGAGGAAATGGCATTTTCGGTGCTCAGAGGGATGAAGAGGGTCCGACCAGAACGCCTGTGTAAGGTTCACCTTCTCAGATTTGAGCAGTAAACTGTAGACTCCTTAGTAAATTTAACGTTGATCATCCGAAAATGCTACGCGACGTGTGTGACAGGAACCAGTGAACACATGTTTAATCGCGTGACCCGACGACCTGCTCCTGTACAGTGTACCCGACTTTTTCGGAGATGGCCAGCAAAACGAACAGTACGAAATAAGCTGATTCAAATACTTAGCCAGTTCTCAACTGAATTTTGAATATCCTTAGAGTGATACAATTGGTTTGGCCGAATTAGTGAAGTTGGTGCGTGGTCGTGTGGATGTGCGTACGCGTCGTGGCAGCCGATCTGCAGATCAACCAAAGCCAACAAGTGCACTCGAATGTTTTGATAGACGCCACAATTCCACAGCCCAGGAAAATGGAGTCGCTTAAATTTTACTCCAAATGCACCTTGGGTTGCACAAAAGGCACAGACTTTAGGCCTGACGGGTAGAGTGAATGAGATCATGATCGCTAAAAGGGAACGAATCACTTTGCTTTGATAGCGAGCAACCAGGACTAGTTTACCGGCTGTTTCACGAGCTCTCCGCTAATGTTAAGATAAGAATCCGCCTCGCGTAGATCAAGTTGCGAGACATCATCATCATCATCATCAACAACAAACCGCGTTGTCGAATGTGAGTACGAGGGAGGGAGAAAGAAAAAAACGGCTGGGTACTGCGTGCGCTACACTTGGAAGGGGAAATTGCCAAAAGAAGAATAGTAACATGGACCCTTTGATCATGTGAAACGGGAGCCGTAGCCGCAAGTAAGTAGATCCCCAAAGTGTGCAAGGGTCCAAGTGGATTAAACGTGGGGAAAAATTCGCCTGGCTGAATTAATTAATCCGCGAAGGGAGAAAGAGACGGAGAGACGGGAGAGGGGGCGCGACTTCGGAAAGCCCAGACGTCCGTATTTCCAGCCAGCCACCCCCCCCATCTCATGACCATCACGCGTGGTCTTTTTCTCTCTTTCCTTCTCCCCCCGTGTATCTTTTTTCTTTGCTGGCCGTCGACTAAAGGGGAAAGCATGTCATCGGTCCTTGTCCTACCGTGATACACAATCACCGGGTCGTTCGTGTAACGACAAACTGCACATCCAACATGATGAAGAGCCCATCACCATCGCCATCGCCACCGTCGTCGCCACACAGGGCCTACCCCGCGCCAGAAGCAGCATCCCCCAGCGACACAGGATGTCAAGATGGTAATGCGCAACGGCTGCTGTGGCGCCTCTACGTCTCACATACACTCTCGACATGGAACGCACGCACGTTTGAGTTTGGCGCGGTGATTTTCCTCGCCGCCATTTTCCCCGGAACCCTCTTCTTCGCGTCGTGCTATGCGCTTTTCCGGGCTGGAGCTGCTGCTGTCCTAGGGCCCTGGATAGGACACCAGGTGGACTGCAGAAATCGACTGGACGTTGTAAGGCACAGCATCGTGTGGCAGAGACTGTCAGTCGCCGGGTCGTGCCTCGTCCTGGTCTTGATGGTCGCCGGCGGCCATGGGAAAGAGAAGGGATTGACGACATATGCCTTGTTTGTCGGGAGTGTCATACTAGCGTGTGTCGAGAAGCTGGCCTTCATTGCAAACACCATTTCCGTGGAGCGGGACGGGATCATTGTGGTGTCTGAGAGCCTGAGCATCGACCGGCAGGATTTGAACAGCACAATGCGGCGGATTGATCTCGTGTGCAAGCTCATTGCACCCGTCGGCATTGGACTGGCGGAGGGCTACTTCTCGACCCGACTGGCCATCTGGATTGTATTCGTGCAAAACGCCATCAGCGTCGTGGTGGAGTATTTTGCCATTGCCTCTGTGTACGCAGCGGTGCCAGGCCTCGCGCTCGGAAAAGCGCCGTCGCCGCCGCCGAACCACGAGCGTGATTCTGAAACAGCAGACACGCCAATGCGACAGTCGTCCCACCAGCAGGGCAATAATACCTCCGGGTCAGCCCCGCGTCGTCACACGCCGCCCGTCATTAAAACCATGGTGGCATCCCACCTGCGGCCGTGGAAAAATTATATCCAAAACCCTGCCTTTTTGGCGTCCTTTTCGCTCTCCCTCCTCTACCTGACCGTGCTGAGCTTCGCGTCGCAAATGACGACATACCTGCTATCACTCGGATTTACCAGTACCCACGTTTCGCTTATGCGCCTTGGCTCCGTCATGTTGGAGCTGTGCGCCACGGCCGTCGCCCCCTGGCTTATGCGCCGCATCAGCGCTGTGCGCGCCGGACTGTGGTTCATCAACGAGCAACTCATCTCGATTGCGCTGGCCGTCGGCCTGTTTCTCTGGTTAGACAACAAGCCCATGCTCGCTGGCGGAGTCCTGGTCCTCGGCGTGGCATTCTCCCGCCTGGGGCTGTGGGGGTTTGATCTCAGCGTGCAATATCTGGTGCAGGAAGATGCGCCAGAAGCCACACGGGGGTCCTTTTCCGCCGTCGAGATGTCGCTGCAAAATCTCTTTGAGCTGGTCTCCTTTGCCACGACAATGGTTTTTTACCGGCCGCAGCAGTTCAAGATTCCCGTCTTCATCAGCGCTGGCGCCATTATATCGAGTGCGGCGTGTTTTGCGGGCTTCGTACGGCGCAAAAGGGGCCATTTGCTGCACACGGATAGGTGCTTTAAGAGAATGGGTAAGACAGGCAGGTATGAGGTGTTGCCCACGATTGAAGAAGAATTTGAAACAGATGAAGAGGACATTAGACATGGATGAATTCTGCTGCGTCGAACAAAAGCCACATTTTAAAAGCTGAATGTAAATACTTCCAACAATTCCCTCTTCTACACCCTTTGTCAACGTGCGGCAGAGTCAAGTCTCACGGCTTCTTGGACTACAAGTAAGCATCATGGTTCTCACAATTAAATATGTAGACAGTGTTGAAACTAAACAGATATGCTATAAAGCATTCACCACTCGATGGTGAGCTATAGTCGTCTCCTTTCCCAACGCCAAAACAATGCCATGCTATGCAATCAAGACAGAAAACGAACTTGGCCGTTACGAAAAGGTTCGTGGAGTGGGCGTCGAGTCCCTGACATGCAACAATGCCACACCGTCTACAACATCTCCCTCACCACCACCCACTCCGCGTGTCAGGGTTGTGCCTTCGTCATCGTCGGTGTAATGGCCGTCTTCAAGATACTCCTCTCCCTCGGCATAGTCTCCACCTTCAACACTCTCCATGATTGAGTCGCCCATGCCTGTTTCGTCGAGCGAGTCCCGTGACATGTAGCTCCCTTCGAGATCCTCGCCAATGTCCGACCTTTCGTCTTCGCTGCGGATGCTAGCCGCTTCCGTGTCAACATCGTCGTCTTCGTCTTCGCTGTCTGTGAAATCGGCAATGTCGAGAGGTGGATCGCGCCAGTAGTTGAAGTCTGTGTAGGCTTCGCCCCCCGCTGGAACAAGCAGTCCGACTGGGGGGAAAAAGTGGTCGACAATCTCTCGCATACTGGCATAACCAGTCTTGTAAGAATTCAGAGACAGGACGTCGAGACTGACTTCGGCATTGGAGTTGATGGTGAAGATGCGTGTGGATGGGATGTTGACGGAGCGATAGGACAGAGCATCGGTAAATCGGTTGCCGAATCCCGCGTAGAAGGGTGTTTGGCCCGGGGGTTTGTTGAACAACTGCATAATATCTCGGAGGCAGGCCATTTTGAAGACTTCTGGTTTCCGCAAGTAGATTTCTCTGCGCAGTGCAGCAATTGTGCGATCTGGACTCATGATGACGGGGCCCTTTGGCAGACGGTAGTTGTCTTGCACGACGCCATTGAGGTAGGCTCTTGTTGTATCGGCTTGTCCGACGGAGCGACTCGTCAGGTAGAAGATATTGTAGCCATTGTTCACAATGTCTGTATAGAGTTTGGCAACTCCTTGGTGAGTCCAGTCACGGCCAATCATGTTGAGCACATGGCCAAGGGCATCTGACTTTGTGATTGTCCCGTCAATGTCGGAGATGACAATGGGCACATCGTGCTTCCAGTAAAACATGTAAGCCTCACACTTTGATCTATTCACTGTGAAGCTCATCGTGTTTGCGCCCGGCTTCAGATTGAGGGCTTTGAGTTGGTCACTGGTCAGACGCAGCGTCTTTGCATATGTCTTGGTCTCATTCTTGCGCGACTCGGGCGAGTGTGGCGCAGACATGCCGAGGGCACTATCCGAATCCCTGCGAATCTGGGGAAACTGGGCCGTGTCATCACTGCGGCCGCTGTCGCTCTGGTAGCCAGGATCGGACAGGGCGTCGCTTGAGCGGAGGGCACTCTCGTTCAAGACGTTGACAGAAGTCTTTGCCATGGCGGCGGCTTTGGCCTCCTCACTACTGTAGATCCACAGGTTTCCGTTCTCGTCGGCGCCAATAAGGGCACCAATGTCATAGTCGCCTGCAAGCTCGTCGGAGAGGATGCGCCTGGCTATGACCTCTGCACGCAATGCGTCCTCCTCGCTGCTCTTGTAGCCCGTCATGTCAAGCTCCAAGTCGCCAGTCTCGGTGACCTTGTTAGGGATATTTGAAGTGAAGAGCTTCTTGGAGAGCTTGATGGCGCGGGCAAGGGCTTCGCTGGGCGACACTGGCGGGGGACTCGTTGAGCGCGTAGATCTATTCCATGCAGTCGCGTCTTCCTTGCTGATCTGCAGCGGCCCCCTCTCATGTGGTTGGAATTCGTCAAAGGCTTTGCTAAAACTGTCCTTGACCGAAGGCATCGTCACGTCTGTGCTAGCCCTGTGCATCTGGAAGCCAGACCAGTCTCCCGACTTTGGGCGAGCGTAGTCGGCGTCTGCGTGCAGGTAGTCGGCAGGGGGCACCGACATGGACATGCGCCCTCTCCTCCGCGCCATGGCCGTCTCGTCGAGATCAAGGGGTTCGGGCTCGTCAAAGGGGCGGTCCGAGGAGGGCTCGGTGGGCTTCTGGTCGGGGCTGGCAGCGGGCGAGGCAATGGGCGATGTCTGCATCTCAGCGGGAATACTGCGCGAAGTCTCAAAGACAAAAAACGCCTCGCCGCCCTCGCCGAGCTTCATCGAGTAGTCCTGCAGCTCGCCATTGACGCGGAACTCGACCTTCTTGTCTGAAGGGCGCAAGATCTGGTACTTGCCGAAGCGAACGTGGAAGGGCGAACATGCGAGGGTGCCATCTTCGTGCTCGACGACGATGGTGTCGATGGCGCCGCTGAGGGTAGCGGGATTGATCGAGTTCCAGCCCTTTGAGACGCTGCCAGTGATGGAGCGGACGTAGTTCATGGTGGATGGGGGGGTAGGGGTGGGAGAGAGGGAGAGGGGGGAGAGGGTGGCAGCAGGGCCCTGTTTGCGCCGGGAGGGGGTGTTTGTGGGCGTGGGAGGCAGCAGGTGTCGGGGAATGTACGTCAGATGGGTTTTACAGAGGAGGTGGAATGATGCAAATGACCCGAGGCCGCGCGCTTTCACATGCCACACGACGGGCGCATGGACGAACAGGGCGATGGAGAGGCAGCAGAGGCAGACAGCAGCGGCTTGGAAGGGAGGCAGACGGAGCGTGGAGCGATAGATTGGGAGAGCGGCCAGACAGGGCGCTCGTGCGAGTCGATATGGCCGTATACCGTCATGTCACGGGCAGTCGGCGGCTTTGCGACGTCAGCACCGGCCGGCCTGGCGGGCTGGCGGGGGCCCACGGCCATCAGGTGGGCAATGGCAATGGCAAAGGCCATGGCGTGGCCATGGACATGTTGCATCTTGCATGGCCAGATGTCGTAATGGTTATCATGGCGACGCGCTGCACATGCGCCCACGAGGACATGGGCCTTGGATGGGATAGGATAGGAGGGGATGGGGTGGGATTGGATTGGATTGGAGCATGGAGAAGCCGGTGCGTGGGTGCGTGGGTGCGTGGGTGCATAGGGGAGTTGAGAGCCGTCACTGAGCGAGCGACCACGTGCACCCTTGGAATGAGTAGCCCTGGCTTGGCATATACACGAGTATTTTTCAAGAGTCCCGTGATCTACTACTACTAGAGAGTAGTGATACATGACCCAGTATGTAAATGTGTTGTACGTGTAGTAGTAGTGGTACTACTACTACTACTATACAGTAGTATAATCACGTGCACAGCCAAACACTCGCGCCACACACACACAGAGCTGCAGGGCAGCGGCGGCTTGTCGACACGCCAAGACGAGCACCAAATGCTTGTCGCCCCGGCCGCACTCGGCCATACTATTCCATACTACTTACTACTATGCCAGTTCACTCTCCCGACCCAGACAGACAGTCCACCCCCATCACCATTCGTTTTTCTCCTCCCCAGGCGGCGACTCTGGGCCCCGACAAGCAATAAACCCCCCCGCCGCCGTCCCCGCCCAAGCCATCATGTTTTCCGACCCTGCGGCCGCCCTGCACTGGCCGCCTGACGTCGCCCACTACAACATAGAGGCCCTCTTGTTCTCCTCGTCTGGATGGCTCCGAACCGCCTGCGTCGTCTTGGCCCTGTTCTGGTACGCATGCAATCAATCAATGACTGAATAAACATGTGCCTCGTCACCCACTTGGCTACTCCCTCTCCGACGCGCTCGTGTTGACTTCGCGCCCAGGGTCGCCTTCCGCGCATACCAAGTCCTCACCCAGCCCGTCGACAAGCTGATCCACGTCCTCGGCCTCGAAGTCCCCGTCGCCCCCATCGTCTCCCTCGCCGGCATCAAGGCTGATGGCGCCCTGCTGCACTGGAAGCCCCCCGACCAGCGCCCCTCGGTCCTCAAATATGTCATTCGTATCAACGGCATAGACAGTACGTCGTTGCCCTTTGCCCCACTCGCAACCCACCCTTCTAACCCACTTCTCCCCCAGTCGGCGATATCTCCCCTCAGGAGTCCTCCATTACTATTGAAAATCTCCTACCCGACTGTCACTACACGATCCGCATCGTCACCCTCAACTCGTCCAGCTTCCAGGCCCCCAGTGTCCCCATCCGCTTCCGTACCCTCCCCGCCGACTCGGACGACTACTACGCACCCCACCCACCCAAGGATGCCGTGCCTCCTTCCGATGACAATGACTACACTCCGACCCCGATTATTCGCCCCAACAAAACCCTCGCAGAGGTCGTCACCGCCGTCGCTGCCCCTCCCATGGCCCGCGAACACAGCAACAGCACCTCTCGCTTGCGCCGCCCAGATGTCGGCAGGAGGGCCTCACCTGCGTCGCAAGACCAGCCTCGCAATGCCCAAGAATCAGAAGGTTCGGATTCCATTCGCCAATTGACTGAAAAACTCGACGCCCTCCGACGCGAACTCGATGACGTGGAGCGTCAGATGCAGGATGAGGACCAGGAATTTGTCACCCAAAAGGCCATTCTCGCCGACAAGCGCGATGAAAAAAAGGCTGCGCTCAAGGAAAAAGAGGATGCCAGTCGCGACTTGCGCAAGGAAGTGGCGAGTCTCGAGCGCCAGAACGCGACAGCCCAAGCCAAGCGCGCTCATCAAGAAAAGATTTTCCGCCAAAAAGAAGCAGAGAGAAAGAAGCTCAAGGACGACGTAGCCAAATGGACTCGCGAAGCGGTCGAATTCCGTGAAACTGCAGAGAAGACTAAACAAGAGCAGGCCGAGTATGAAGCCGAGTCGGAAAAGCGCATTCAAGAAATCAAGGACAAATACGCTGAAGAGACCCAGGCCAACAAGGTCTTGGAGGACGCCATTCGCGAAAAGGGAATCCACATCAAGGCGCTCGAGGAGGAGAGAAAGAAGCTTGAGGCTGGCCAGGAGGGTGCAGAAGCGACAGACGGACCCGATCACGCGGAGAAAGAAGAGGACAACCGGTGGAAAATGACTCTTGGCTTGCTGCAACAGCAGTATGCCCAGGCCTGGGCCCTGTATGCAGAAGCAGAGAGAGCTCACCAAGATGCTGTTAATAGACTCGGGTACATGCAGCAACGTCGTCTAAGTCAACCCCAGCTCTTCTCTGGACCATCTGTTCCAGATATGGGACCAGGACCAGTGAGGAGGAACAGCCAACGGGCACGACCGCTAAGCATGCGCGAGGGCCTACTTTCTGCTGCTACCGGAGGCTTTGTTCACACTTCCTCGGCCCCTTTCAACAGCATTCCAACCACCGCGTCACCGTCATTCGCAAATCCAACTCCCTATTTCAACCCAGTGAATGGCATGGCACTACCTCCGCGTACTTACAGCACATCCTTCTCGCAAACCGATATGGAGAGCCTGACTGGAGGGGCCCCGATGAGTCCCACAGCTGGTTCGCTGCTTCCAGCTGGTCTGTTTGGAGACGACTTGGGCTTGACAGAAGACGAAGACTACGACGATCCGGGTCCACCACAAGCCCCTTCTCTCAACCCCTCGCCAAACATGAGAAACGTTCTACCCGGCTTGGGCGCGCCTGGCACAATGCACCACGCACAAAATTCGAGCTTACCAGCCTCACCACGGACTCAGTCCCCCACTGGATTTGCAAGTCCCAGAGATAGCGCCGGCGACCTGCAAATGCAGCCGAGCAACGACAACAATATGGATAGCGACAGACGTTCCATCAACTCAACCTCGAGCTCCTTCCAAACCAACCCTCAAGCCAGTCGTTTTGGCGGACTCTTTGGCCTCAATCGAGCACGCGGCAAAACATTCTCAGACGACGGCCCGGCCTTGGGATCCCTCAAGCCATCCCAAAGCCAATCTCTGCCACGTCAGGAGCATGGTTTGGATGGCCTCGGCGCTCCACGTCGCCGTGGTAGCCTTACAGAAGGCTCGTGGTATGATGCATTCATACGCACCAAGACGCAACCCATAGAGTCTTCGAGCAGTCCCAAGCACGTAGCTACTCGTAAACGCCCATTTAATATGTTTGGTAGTGCCAAAGGAGACGATCCATGGCTTCGATCTATGCTCGGAATGCAACAGAGGCCAGAGTCACCTCGCCAGGGGTCCACGAATTCTGGAGAAGGCACGGCACTGCCACGACCTTCGACAGAAAGCCAGACGCGCTTTGGTTGGAATGTGGATGCGTTCGGTGCCAGGTCTAGCCCTCTCGGAGTCGACTGGAGTGTCAACAACACGAATACTGCTTCGTGGTCCCGGTTAGGGTCTAGGCGGCCATCAATGCAACATACAGCCAACGCCAACTTGATCAATGAGGACATCATGCACGACGATGTCCTTGATTTTCCTTCAAATACGCGATCACCTACACAGGCACCAATTGGCACCCGACCGCAGTCGTCTGCGTCGCACATGCCGGGACAAATGTCGGCCTCGTCCTTACCACCTATTCCGCCAACTCCACCCAAACAGCTCAACCCAGCGGCTGCTAGTTTCACCATGTTCCAGTTGGGCAAGAAGACGGAGGAAGATAGGGCCGAGAAGGCTAAACGTGCTGCAGAAAAGGCCGCTGAGAAGGAAGCCAAGAAAGCTGAAAAAGCTGAAAAGAAGGAAGAAAAGGAAAAGAAAGCCAAGGCAGACAAGGCAGAAAAGGCATCTCGCAAAGACAAGCATACGCCGTCCGAAGCTGGTGATTCGCGAGAAGCAACCTCACCCTACCTTGACTCTCGCATGTCCCGAGACACACCATCCATCTCCACTGCCGATGCATCGGAGTCATCTCCACGCGAGTCATTGGAACATAGCATTTCTTACGCGGCATCAGACGCTGCAGGCTCCATAGGCAAAGAGTCGTTTATGCAGAAACTGACGCGCAAAGGCAGCACCAATCAATTTCTTACCTTTGGAAAGAAGAGCGGCCTCTTTTCCAAGAGCAAGGCTGGCGATGTTCCCGGGACTCCAGACGAAGTCGAAGAGGAGGGCTCTGGCGGCTTTTTTGGGTTGGGCAAAAGCGCAGACAGCGTAGGAAATAGCCCGAGCATTGGTACTTCAAAAGACAAGGCGAGCATGTGGGGCTCTATTAAGCGTATTGGCAAGAAGGACAAGACACCAAGCTTGCATGAGAGCATTGCAAGTGAGGCTACTGGTGACGAGGAGGACATGGCTGAGGAGAATATCAAGGCATAGCTTGTATTACTTGCATGATGTACAAGTTTAACAAAAAGCCAATGGCGTTTAAAAATAAAATTCGTATCGCTTTGTAAGATGATGAAACTACTTTGGTGTTCACTCATGTTCATTATCTTGTGTGGCGTTCTTCCCCGGATTCTGCATGCTGCATGCCAAGCACGGCGCGACTTGGGCACTTTACCTTGACTTCAGTCGAACAACCAACAACATAACCCAACCCCGCGTCTCCCCATTACACCACGGGCACCATGGCTTCGCCAGCCGCAGAAAATGTGCTTAATGGCATTTCTACCCCACCAGCTACCGCAAACGCACCCACACTCAGCCCACCTACACAGCCACCACCTGCATCGCAACCGTCGCAAGCATCCAATGGCGCGTCAACAAACCCAGCGGCCAGCATGAACGCCGCCTTTCCATCCAGCTCGCTCCAAGACAATGGAACCAGCAAGCGCCCTCGCGATGCACGCCTCATCCATCTGATCCTAGCCAACATGGGCGTACACGCCTACACGGAGCGCGTACCGCTACAGCTCCTCGACTTTGCCTACCGATATACCTCATCCATCCTTTCCGACGCGTTATCATACGAGCCACCCCTACCCACAACATCGGCGTCGAAGAAACGCAGCGGCCCCAACGCCGAGTCGGGTGAAGACGGTGTGTCGCTTAATGCGCTGCGCACGGCAGTCGGGGCGCGGGCAGCAAGCACCTTCCAAGGCACGCTGGGCAAGGAATTCATGAGCGAGGTGGCGCTCGAGCGGAATCGCATTGCGCTACCCCGTGTAGACCGCGAGTTTGGGATTCGCCTGCCGCCCGAGCGGTACTGCTTTACGGGCGTGGGGTGGGATGTCAAAGGCGCGTGGGAAGAGGAGCTCGAGGAGACAAACGAGGACGTCGATATGGATGATGATGTGGGTGCTAGTGGATCAGGGTTTGGGGGCCCTGTGGGCGGGGTTAATGGCAACGCTGGGGGTGAAGCCGGGGATACGACGATGGGCGGTATGGAGGATGAGGAGCAGGATGATGATGAATTTGAGGAGGCCATGGGGATCAATCAGGAGAATAACGGGTGATTTTCCTGAGTTAATTGTTGTTCAAGGTAATGACATCGGTGGTGGGAGGTGAACGTGAGAAGAGTAAAGACGAGGCGTTTGATGGGTCTTTTAGCATTTCATGGCGTTGAGAGAGAGAGAGAAAGGTATAGGCCTGGTCTTTCTATATCATATATACCAGAGCTTCAAATAGCTCAGCCTTTGCATGGTTGTACTTGGCATCATTGTCTAGCAAAAAAGAGAACAAATATATGAATGATTTCCAAGATGATGTTACAATATCATACAAAGTGAGTTTCGTCGTGTTCCTGTACAAGAATGGGTAATGTGAATTTGTTTCTTTTTTTTTCCTTTCCTTTCCTTTCCTTTCCACTCCACGTCCAATCCCATTCACGTCCCTCTATATATCCCTCCCCTCGTAACACCCCGATCATCCACACGATTCTCTTCACGCCTCGCCAGTCCAGCCTCATTCACTTGCTCCGCCCTCTTTCCAACCGTTCTCCCTTGCTCATCCAAATTCCACCACTCCTTATGCTTCGTCCGCGCCTCCTCAAGCTTCCTCTGATGTTCTTCTCTCGCCTGTCAATCGTCAGAACAATGTCCCAAACCTCTCATAAAGATGTTTACCTTTTTCCTCTCCCCCGCAAGCGCAAACCACTCCTGCCGCGCCTTGTCTAGCTCATCCTGATTCTGATACTGCAGCATACAACTGTTCATGGCGAGCCGCGCATCGCGGCATGCATAGATCATGGTGAATGTGCGGCCGAGGGCACACGAGGCAAAAGTTTCGATTTCCGGGGCACATTTGGCTCGCACGTTTTTGTAGTACAGGTCGCGCACTTGTTGTTCTTGCGGGGCGGACAGCGGCGTGGGGTTGCTGGGCAGCGGGTTGTTGCCGATTATCATGCGGTCTGTCATTTTTGCCTCTGTTCGTGGAAGACGGGTGCGCGGAAGGGGCGCTGGGTGGAGTGACTTGTCGCTCCTCGTCTCTTTATATATCTAAGTTGCTGTGTCACCTCGATGGTGATGGTGGTGGTGGTGGGG